TGAAATATAATGATTCATATCTCAGTGGCTCGGGTCGGTGTTCTGAACTTAACTGGCTGGGCTAGGCGGAAAACAGGGCCAGTCAGACTCTAGGTTGCTCGCACTTATTTTACGCGTCATTGATCCGACAGATAAGTCACTGTACATTAATCGACAATCACAAGTTATAACAGAGAGCGTCATTGGGAATGGTTCACCCAAAGTCTCTAACCACTGTTTACTATAATCATGTAAACCTTAACGAGACAATCTCAGTTTAGCAGTCAGCAACGTCATGGATAGACGTGACGTTTGGGTTTGCTCACTCTTAGCTTTCTACTGACACAATTCCACAACAGATAATATCGCAAGTCGATGTATGCGGTGATTGGTCATTCATAGTACATGCCGACGAAGATTCACTGTCTCACCAATCTATTTTCAATCTTTTTATGTACTCTGTGTCTAATCTCATCATGGTTTACTCGATTATCCCAACACACACTAGTTAACTGCCGAAGGCACCTATGATAGCATACCAGTAATCTAAGGATAACCTGATTTATAACTGGTTATTTTTCAACCAAGTAGAGAACATGTACAGGGTTAGTAGTTCTTTATTTCAGCGACAGATACTGGCATAAAACCTTTCGATATATGGAATCGAATACCGTCTTAAGGTAAAGAAATATGACTGTGATGCATACACATATAAACTTTATTACCTTCAAAGAAACACTTCTACCAAAATATAGATAAATCAACATAATGCTGTAAACAATGGCTACCATTATGAAAAATGTAGAAAATAAAATGTTACAGACAATAATAATAATCGGAGACCAATAATTAAATAAATAAACCTATTTAAGAAGGCAATGTTATGTCTCCGCTAAAAGTACATAACAGCTTATTAGTTAGAACAATATAACATCTATTCAATTATACCAGCAATGAATTCATTTTGACAGATGAATAACTAGATTCAACATGTGATCAAATTTATTAAATCGCTTTATAAAAATATTTACATCACCTTAATAGATAATAAATTTTGCTGAAAAAAACAACAACACACAAATGCAGTTAAAACTAATGGGCTGTAAAAAAATAATATCAATATTGATTCAAACCTATTTACAGTGCTATATGCAAGACACTATAGTTTATGTAGGTGTGGTCCAAACTACCAATAGGGAAACTATAAATTACGTGTCGACTACCAGAATGATGAATATCATGTTAGTTTAAATCAAGTGACAAAACGTTTCTCTTTGTTCTCACGATTAATGTATTTTGATGAGAAAGTTTGCAATGATTTCATCTTAAGGATTAGTTAGAAAGTAACAAGGCATTATATATTTGTAATAACCAATTCTATGTAATCTAATTAAATTAACCAGTCACTAGGAGGAACATTTCTAATTGGTGGTTGACGATTTTTACTTTCATGATTTTCATGAATACGACGATCTTGAGCGCTGTCGAGTTAAAGCTAATGGCGAACTGTCATCTGATTTTGCAATCTCATGTGGTGTCCGACAAGGCTGTCCACTTTCTCAATTTTTGTTCAACTTCACCATAGATTTAATGCTGGGAATAGCGTTCTCATCGTCTGAATTTTCGAGAACTGATCTTCTATCAGGTTCCACCTATCGACTTAGAATACGCATAATCATTAGGAGTAGAAGATACTTGTAAGCTACTAGTTTTTAACCATAAATATCTTATAAATATTGCTGGCATCTGCTGGGCTCACCGGGTAAGTAATAGTGAGGTTAGACTCAGGGTATTAGGGAGTGATGGTAAATCATCGACTGAGATGGTTGGGCCACGTGTTGAGCATGCCTGAACACCAATTACCACGACGTGCAGTGCTAACCGGTGTTGGAGATGGTTGGAAGAAAGTTGGGAGCGGCCGAACCAAAACGAGGCATCAGTGCTTGAAGTCACTAACTTCTGGTATGAGCCATGTTGGTAGATGCAGACTACTTGATTGGGGTCCGCGTGCCTAACGTAACCAAATGTTGAAGACTCTTGGTGACATGGCTCAGAATCGATCACATTGGAGGTGTATACATTTTTTGTCCGCCCTTAAACCGTAAGAATAAAATTGTTTTATATCTTTCCTTCTACAAACTATTTCTTCCTCTCTGTATCATATCTTTACATGCAGTCTTTTTTGTATATTACTATCATTGAAGTGACTACTTCTATGAATTTAGTGTTTATCTTGTTGTGCTAATGAGGTGTGTCAAGTTAGACCGATGCAAATATGTCAATCATCCAATATATTACCCAATTCACTGTGTATGAAAACGTTTGTAAATATCATCACTATTAAAAGGAAGGACTAACTCAGTGAAGTTTGATCTCTAGGACTTGTGGAAATTCTCTTCCTTAAATCTTCTAATGTCGGATATTCGTTTATTCAATATTCTAGTTCTTCTATATTACGTAATTTCGCATTTTTTGGTGCATAAACTAATTTTAGTGGTAAAAGATTTCTTTGATATTTAACATAATGCACTCACTGTTAATTTTGACGATACACTTGACATAGTTATTATTTAGGTGACTAATGGTCAAATTATAACTATTGGTTTTGATATATATAACTAGATTCTAATTCAGATTATTGTTATTTTCTTAAATATCTTATCGTTTTTACTTTCTAGATAGAAATTTTCTAATACATAACACAGTTTCACTTTTATTAAACTTAATATACATAATTATAAAGGATGTGTTTGACAAATGTGAATTTTTAAGTACTTGAGAGTTACCTTTACGGTATTCTAAAGTTCATTGGATTAGCAACTTCAGAGTTAAATACAATGTAGTTTAAGAATCTACTTTCAAGAACAGTGATTAGAATATTTTTAAGGGCTTCTATTTTCCCATAGATGATGGTAATGTCTGGAATTGATTTCTCAATATTGGTATAAGGCTTCGATATTGCTTTATGATAAAAGTGGTGAGCACGGTTTTGCACAGTAAGCTAGAAAGATTCAAATGGCTCGGCTGTTTAAATTGCACTTTACTGGTAATGCAGAGCAACTATAATTTAACTTTATTGTGGATATCTGGCATATTCTTAACCTAGTTTACTAAACAAATCAGGGGGTTTTATCATTGAGAATATCCATCTCCAAACTATTCACTGATTAATATAGGATTATTATTTGCAGAGATTTTGTGGTGATTTGTGTCGTTTTCATCACGCACTGATATCATTTGAGAAACCATTCCAAATGATATTATTATGTATATCCTTAAATAACATCTATTTTTCATTGAATTCAAATGATTGTTAATATAATTGCAACTCACGAACATATATTGTTTGTCCATACACCAAAATAGTCCCACTAATTAAAATAATTTAGTCAGAAGACTTTACAAATTCTCTTATAGCTTTCTATCTATGGATTTCAAGGAGATAATTGGCATTGAATTCACTACCTTTCTTCAGCTTTTCAATTTCTGAATTCATTTTCTAATATCAGTGTCATTCGATGAGACTCCTTTAGTAAGTGTTACAATGACTAATGTAAACAGTATTAATGGGTAAGGTTATTAAAATGTATGAATGTCAACGAAAGTCCTTTACATACCATTATCTAGGAACAGAGTGAATAAAATACAGAGTTCGATCCAACAAGAATACCAGGTATTTAAGAGATAGATAATTAATCGAAGTTCATAGTCCTGAATTCTTTTTTAAATGATTGATTATGTAGCAAGGTGAGAAACCAACAAATGCAAAAAATGTGCAACTAAATGAACTATCTATTCGGATTAAAAAGATATTTACATGTGGGGACAATTGTCAGTTCGTGTTTTTGACGTTTGACCGGATTTTGGTATTTAGTATATATTAAGTTTAATTGAAGGGCTGTTACTTCCTATTACTTTGAGATATATATTTCAGCAATCGTGTTGAGAGAATACAGGGACTTATATTTTTCTATTTTATGAATATACGTCCTTCATTAAAGGTGTATAAGCTGGCTTATCAGTTCATGACAAATGCTTCTTACGCAGCAATTAATTTTTTTGTTAAGAATTTGGTTGATATAGTGTTACAACGCTCGGTTTCACTTCGTCTATGGGACGTTAATTTACCTAAGACGAATATCTACACTAGATTCCCTCCCAGTGTCTATTCTACTGTACTTCAACACAACTCTGATCAAGAACAAGTGATTAGCCTAACTAGAACGTAAATACGTTTACACACCAAAACCTGACACAATCCAACAACAATGAACAGTCAATAATAAGTAAAAATAAAGATAGGGGAATTATTCAACTAATCTAACACCTGTCAGACTATCTGCATGTCTGACTAAGCAGAAAACCAATCACTATCATTCTCGCCCACACATCATGTAGATATTGTGATCTTTAATTCAAGACCTCAATCAACTTACCTGGTAAACTATTCAGTGATAAAAACAAAATCCTCCCTCTCCGAGTTTAGTCGTATTCATGTTCTTGTCGTAACCATTTGGATAATCTTATATCAACATCTTTGAGCAGCTATTTAATTTCTAGTGTTCCTGAACTGTTCAGTAATTCTGCTTCCATAATGTCTCTACTAGAGACCGTAACTCGCGTTAATGTTCCAAAAATGAATCTACACGTGGCTGCAAAATTGTACATTGTTTGGTCTATCCATCTGACTGCATAAGTGTCCACTTATTTTCGGCTTGAAGTTTAATCAAAGATTGTCTTTTTAATTAATTCAAAACAATTTTACTTGTGAGGTTTAATGGGTGTTTGATTTATTCATATGTGATTTTCATGTATTAATTTATAAAATCGACTTTGTATATTTATACTGTTCAATGGCTGAAAGTAATGGAAATTTGTGCAGTTTGATCGGTACTTTCTGTCGGTTAATTACTTACAGCAATGAAATGCAGGCGTCATTTTTTGATTTATTTTAGGTGTTTTTTAAGTTCCAGATCGTGTGATCGTTAAATTTACACAACAAATAATTCATAAAAAACCTTGATGACATGAAACATCATTTATTTTGAGTTAGATATAAATATTTTTATTTGCGTTACTTTTTGAAAGCATGTGACTGTTTGCAGTGCATACGCAAATTTCACCAATAAATCACAGTGCTTTATAATGCTCAAAAGTGAATACGGTCCTATCACCGAATATTTCTGGTATATCGGTAGATATAATTATTATTGTTCAGTTGCCAGACCATAAACATGTCACCGTAAAACTCACTACGTCCGAATAGTAAATGGTGGAGAACACTCAAGTATTCTAGACATTTTAGCTAGTGTAAGCCGAATTATTCGCTTGCAGACGTCTTCCCACACAAAATACAGGACAAAAATTGTACGACCTATACACTATAACTTGAGAAAAGTTTAGGAGAGCACGTTACATAAAAATAGTAGACCAACTACTCTAGACTAAAATCCTTAAATAGATGTTATCCTAGTTAATTGATGCAGTATCTTCGATACTGCATCAATAATCACGCTTAACAATCGGAATTACAGGGGATTTGTAAGAAACTAGTAAAACGAAATTAAATAGAACTTTGACATTCGGATGATACCAAATTTTTGCAACAAAAGTAATCACTATTGTTAATAAACTGTTACCATCGTAATCACCAATCGTCATAAAAGATAGGATTCTAATAACAAACAAATTATTAAGTACATATATTAGTTCATTTCTAGTAGTCGATAAAGAAATTACTAAGTAAGCTAAGGAAATAAATATTTAAGGAAAAACTGAAGAGAAGGAAAACAAAACAACAATAACAGAAAACTTGACTGTAAAAGCACATTAAGTAACAGTCTATCACTGCTATAATTATCCCAAGGAAATACAGAATCGTTAAAATCAGACAATAGAGGAGCTATAACTAAATATTATATGCAAAATGATTCAAATGTAAGAATACTAAACAGTTCGTATACACTTATTTCATTTTAAACTGAATTGATTTTGCCTTTGTTATAGTTGCAAGTGACAAGATCTTTATTCAGTATGTACGGTAGTGAAACACAAAACGTTGTTCATTGTATAACAGGAGCTTTAGTATGTCCTAAAACACTTTCTTGAATCCGTATTGACTTTTCTAGTGATGAAGTGTTTAGTGAATCAAAATCTGACAAGATCTGACGTACAGTTGTTACAATATCTAAGATAAAAAAGAGAAGGAATGAACATATTTTGTTAAGATTTACTATAACTACAGGGTAAAATGGTAAACGTTATTAGCCCTACACGGTGTGAAACTAATATTTCTTTTTCCACCATGACATAAATTGGATACAAAACTCTACACAAATATATTTATAGTAAATGTATATAATTATTGTAAGAAAGCTAGCTGATCTCAAAGAAATTGTGTTTTGTCCATTTTATTGTTTTGTTTATGAAGCTGTTTTAGATCACATTTGTTTACATCGCTATAATTAACGAATTCTACTATTTATTCAAAAACTATATATTAACTTATTCCTTCAATAATTTTTCATATATGATTTAACTCCAGTATAAAATATATAAACTGGTAATGTTTCCATTATTTATAATCGCTAACAAGAATATTCTACTAGCGATTACAATCTCTTATCCTGTACTCATGAAAAGATGATCTGCTTTAAACTTGATTATTCTTTCTAACCACCAATGTGAATGTAAACTGTACGACCTGAAAAAAATTTACTGAGAATGCCATTTTCGTGAAAACATACTACTACATTTTCAAATTGACATATATAAAGCCAAAAAAGTCGCGACTGTGAAAAGCAGTCTCGTTACTGGTTTGTGGAATACTTTTAAGTTGATAACTTATCATACTAACCAGAAATGGAAGATAAATAATGGGATCCTTAATGTGATGAACATGTAAAACATATGAAACGTGTGTTTATTTTTTATGTGTAGTTTGGTGTTTTATTCATAAGGAATAAAGACGAAAGATCCTAAGTAAATGCAAGAAAATATTTACCTGGTCGACAGTACTGGAGCACACGTTCAATCAACTCATGTACATCTTCTATAGCTGGTGGTGTTTCTATCGGTTCAGCTTTTATAGGAATATAAAATCTAGAAATAAATAAAAAACAATTGACTGGTTAGCTGTCCTCATACCAAAACTTAACGCAAACTTTTGACAGACCGACAGTATTTAGTTCAATTGGTTTTCTTGTTATGTTAAATATACGCAGAAGTAATAAAATTTTATATTAAATGATAAAGGTTACATAGTAAGGTAAATGCGATTGCGATTTACGTACGAACGGGGTTCATAGGTGAATTAAACCATGATACAAAAAGTGTTTTTTGTAAGAATTACTTACTAGGTAATTTCAGAGTAATAATTACCAAGAATAGGTTTAAATGAAACTAAAAAAATACTGATTTATTCTAAATAAAAATCAACTTGATGGTTACTAGTGAGGATTATATGAGTGAATAGTTGTTGACTAGTACCTTGAGATATAAAAACCAGTTTGGTGCAGTTTCAAGAGTAAACCATAATGAATTTATGGGTTACCTCGCATTAAATTGCTTAATGAATAACGTTGGCACACGTTAACTTATTCTACTCTGTATATAAAATTTAAACTTTCCGGGGAATGTTGAGTCTAATCAAAGACAGATTAAACACCGGATCATCTTGAAGTAAACCATTCGGTCAAATACTTCTGTATTGTATAATAATCAATAAGTTTATGTAATAAAGTGCGATAATACCTTACTCATCAACCCTCTATAATGAAATGACAAAGAGCGGAGTACCAATCCAGAAGGAACACTACAAAGAGATATCTGATACGTAGAATATAACAAGTGTTTTTGCATAAATCATCTCTAATAATGTAAACATCGGGAATTATTAACGCTCAATTGCTTGAAGTAACAGCTGGATGACGTTATCTAATAAAAGACCGGCAAAGTTTTTAGTGGCCAGTTACAAATGTAAACGTTTTCCGTGTTATACTCTGCTCACTTGCTACGGGTAACCGTTCTATAGGAAAACAGAAGATAAGATAATAACTTTACTGTGTCATTGGTTTGATAACCGTGGTGGTGAAAACGATTCGAAATTAAGTCAACCGTCACAAGCGTTAAAATACTGGCATCGACACAATGGTGGTAACTTCTCTTTATCCAGTTCCACGTAACAGTCCAAAGTAATTACATTAAACTGTTACGCTTTTTCTTCGAATAAAGACGTTTAGTGAGTCAAACACCTCAATTTATTAAAACGTTCAATCAATTAAGAGTTATATACCATCAATCTCAGTATAAATAAAGCGATTTCTCTTAACTTGTCAAAGTCAAACATTTATGACTATCATAATATACCCTAATGTCAATAAAAATCTAGGTATTGCCTCATTTTACAACCGTAAGATATAGTGTTGATAGTCAGAGACCATAAACAGCTATCTGTATTTTATTACTGGGATCTTTAAAGTATGGTGAAACCAAACGAACTAGCAAATATTGGTATCTTTGATGAAAATTTATTTAGGCGAACCCAACACAAATAAAAGGCGATAATGGATTCAGAAAAATATAATGTCATTACATTAAGTTATGCCTTCCACGTGCTACCCAAGTGAAATACATTTATTTTTCCTGGTATTCTTACGTTTCCAAAAGTAGTAAATTTAATAATTTAGGTGATCAAGGTCAAGGTTTGTGTGAAAGTGCACAAATGTTCTTAATCTACTACTTTCGCAACCTTTTATTAATAAGGTATATCCCATAGAAAATACCCTAACAAAACAAAGAAACAATCCACGATTGGGAATCGATAGAGTCAACAACGGAACAAACAGTTGTATAGGTAATCTCATATCTGTTGAATAAGTTAGTGGCTGTATGGGGTTAGTAATTTATCGAACAAGGTTTTCACTTTCGAAGCGACAGATTTTAAACTTGACTCTCAATGTGGGTATCAATATTTGGATGCAGGTACACACAAACGACTCTGCTGGAATAAAATGAAACGCGTGGCCTGATTACACTGTTAACCACAACCCACATGCATTAACACACTGTTAAGTTTGTAAAATAAAATGGATTATTGATTTTTATAAACAGAATTATAATTTAGAACAACGTCTACACTAAACTGGGAATGAATCTACCAAAATTATGGTCGAATTCTAATAAAGATATGGGATACACGGATATACCGAAAGCAGTTGAGGAATACTTACAGGCTGCGGACCTTCTCTTGTTTATGTAATAAATTATCTAGAAAAAAATTATGAAAAAAAACTTGTTTGTATACTCTAGAAAACAGAGAATAAATCGCAACATAAATGGAATTTATTATAAAAGAAAATATACCACTTAGACGAACAGAATGTAAGAGATTTACGTTCATGTCCAAAGTCAAACGTGAATGAAAATGCAAAGAATTGAAAACTCACGTAGATATACTTGTTGATGGTGTTGTATACAAATCGATCCAAATTTAGGTCAAGGTTGGAAGTTAAGAGCCGCTGAACATTCATCTTAGGTATCACGTTGTGGTGTCGGTATTGTGTCAAGCCCACATAGGTTATTCTAGCCTCTTGATAGACCAATTTATTCATTCTTCATGAGTCACATTTTGATCTTATCAATTATTCGCTTATTATTCTTAAATATTTTTATATGAGCGTATATAAGTCCGTTGCTTATGCTACTCAGCACATATCTTTAGCTTACTTTTGTTTAGCTATAAATGTTGAATCAGGCTTTATCAAACTGAGTTGACACAATTGTCTTCTCCGGTCTGCTTCTCCGTTTCGTTTCTCTGATTGCTTATCTGAGGCAACGAGTTTATAAAATATACGTATTCGAAATTCATTTTACTCCGTTATTTTCTAACGCGAATTACGTCGATAAATATGTACAAGGGTCGGTGGCATGTATATTTGCTTAACGCCAACGTTCCATCAAATTTGAGCCAGAGCAGAAAAAAAAAGTGAATCAGGTTTAAAGACAAATACGAGTACCTAAATCAACAGATGAGTTATGTTCAAATGGGAAAGTGAGATTATTTTCTGTGGTTCATAAAATGTGAAATGTCATTAACCGGAGACTTTAACACATTTTATTTTTTGAAAAATTATATTATTTTCTGGCTCTTTTCTACATCCTGCACACCAAGTTAAACGTTCACTTTTGTCACATCATGATTGCTTTCTTAATATCATATTTAAACATTAATACAACTAAATTTAGTGATGAAATCTTACCTTTAATTTCTTGTTCTTGCTCTTCTTCATCATCATCATTATCAGAAAGAGAGGAAGTATCTACTTCTTCATGTAGAATGCAAACGTCTTCTTCTTCGTTATCGCTCGTTACAAAGAAACGATGTTGTTCTTCATCTATTGGGGAAGGAGCAGTATCTATGATATGAGATGAGAGTGATCTTGTCGGTGATTTTTTCTCACTTTTGCTTTCCAGTATATACTGTTTTTCTATAGTTTCTTTAGCTTGTAAAATCTCACCAACCTTAGGCCATTGGTACTTTAACGCTCCACTGCCTTCTTTTACTCTTATTTTAGATTTGGCTTCCTGAAGACCGTATTCAAGTGCTCTCGACCATTTTGTTGGTTCCGCCGTCTGGTGACCAGTATTTTGTTTGGTATTTGTTGATAATATAGATTTCCTTTTAACATCTTCGATTAGAAGACGTAATATGTTTACAGGATTGGAAAATGGAGCGACTTGCATAAGTCGAGGTAAATGTTCACATAGTGCACGGATCCACCACCATGAGGTAGTAGTACATATTCGGGTAGGTTCGTAATATTGATTCTATATTGAAAATATAATACCGATGAACATTTGTGTGACGACAAAACAAATAAAGATTCTAAAATATGAATAATATTTTAGAAGTATCTTAAGTGAATCTGCTGGTAAATTTTCATTGTTTGTTTACCATGAGTAACAATGAATTCAAATATTGAATTACACGAAAAAGCTAACATTTGAAAGGCATGAATTTTACTGGAATTACTTGACTCCTTTAATTTGATGCATTATAGTAATGTTTCAACAGTCTGGTCTTATCAAAACAAAGGAAGTAGTCGGATTAAAAGGAAGAGTATCATAAGGAAAAGCTCTCAAAATCTAAACCTAAATAGTGTACAACAACTCTCCTACAGTCAATTCTGTCGAGCCGTTTTATTAGCTTATTTGTTTATTCGGACAGTAACAACTCGTCTATTTCTTTTTATCATTATGGTCACTATCATGTATGTATAATCGTGTATGTTCGATCACATGTGACGGCCTACGCACATATCTTTCTCTAGCTTAACTTTTAATCACCTAAATATCGCTCGATGACTCATTCTTATATATATATTCGCTCGATGTGATTATAGCTTTGTTATCAGTGCTATCCGCTAATAGACTGCAGTCTTGTTAATGAGGCCTTAACAGAACGACACTCTAGAAAATCATTTTAAAAGATAACGTTGTTCAGGTATCAACGGGTATGTACATGTAAGTCGTGTCAATAGTTTTCATCATATGATTACTAATAAAAAGATAATTTCTGCTTCATTTGTTTTTTGAATAAGAAAATTCTCAGATTTCTATGTACCGGGAGGGTCTTACATCTAATTTCGGTAAGATGTTTTAAATGACGGTCGTAATCAGGCTGTCAAAATTGGGAGGTAAATGTTTTAAAAAAAATTGTTCATGCTTACTAATTGAGAAACAAGATTTTCCAACTGAGTAAAACAAGCACTGACAACAGTTTCTAATTCAACAGAATGTTCAGCAATTGATGCAAGCTCTTTTAGCAATGCATTACCTTTTATTGCACTTGATTCACTTTTTGAAAATTCAGGCTTATTTGTGATCGGCAATGCAAGTATTATAGCTGCAATTCTGTAATTAATAATAGGAAACTTACATATAAAAACATATTAGAACAATTAATAGAAATCCAAATAATTAAGTACTTCACTTAATTCTGAAGTCTTCAGTTTGCGCAGACGTGATATACTAACTATAACCGTATTCCAAGGACTCTGTTAATATTCCATGTTTCATTAAAACACGTGGCGAAACTGCTTTTGGTTGTTTGTAATGACTTAAATTAATACTTTAGAATTACGGTCTTTCATTATTTCGTACTAATTGTCATTACGTTTTAACTACCACGATTTCTAGTCAACCTGAATGGCAAGTTAATGTAGGTCCTCCAACTCTTTACGAAGTTGAAAAAGCTATAGGAAATCTGAAGTGAGGGAGACCAGCAGGCCCTGACAGGTTTACTCCTGAAGATTTTTAAGGATGGTGGTCCAGTATTAGCAATGAGACCGATTGAGGTCTTAGGTAGGATTTGGGAGCTGGACGTAATCTCATCTAACTGGTCTCAATCACTGATTGTTGACCACTGCACTTACCTTGGTAATCTGATCAACTCTTGTGCTCTGGTGTGTTGTGAAGTCACAGCATGGACACAGAAGACTGGACTAGCCTGTGCCAAATTGCGCCATTTATGGCGTAGGCGAGATATCCGTCTACCAAACAGAGGACAAGCTTACTGCGCAGTAGTACATTCCGTCCTAATTTACCGCTGTGAAACATGGCCGGTAAGAGTAGAGGATATTCGTAGGTTACTACTGTTTGATCATAGGTGTCTTCGAAACATTGCTCGTATATCCTGGGACCATCGAGTAAGTAACACAGTTGTTAGGAAACGGGTACTAGGTAAGGATGGCAAATCCATTGATGAAGTGGTGAAACTTTGTCAGTTGAAATGGCTGGGACACGTGTTACGTATGCCCAACGACCGACTGTCTCGACGTGCGATGTTCAGTGGTATAGGAGTAGGTTAGAAGAAAGCTGGGAGCGGCCAAACTAAAACATGGCACAAATCCATGAAGTCACTGACAAGTGGATTGAGTCATGTTGGTAAGTGTAGACTACCTGTTTGGGGACCGCGAGATGATAGCAACCGATGGTTAGAGACCCTGAATGACATGGCTGAAAATCCTTTGCAATTGCGCAGGTGCATCCACTCTTTGTGTTCTCCCATATTTTGATCTCCTGATTCTTCCTTGTCTCATTTTTCCTCTTTCCAAATTTATTTCACTGGATTATACCCTTTAAATAACATCTTCAAACCCTAATCTTTCGGATTTCTGCTTATACTCTTACCACCTCTACCACTACGGGATTTGAGTTGACAACTGCATCTCTGTGCTAAGGTGGTGTGGCAACTAGAACTGATATACGTACGTACAAAGTTCTACGTAGTTACTGACTGACTGACTTAACTCCCATGTTGTTGTTATGTGTGACACTTGTGTAGGATTTAATTTGTCCTAAAGATGTACTACTAGAGCTGTAAACGCGATACTGGCGACCCCGGAGCTCTGGTCAGAACAAGGACAACTGTGTTTTAAACTTGATCTGTTTCTAAACGTAAAAAAACAATTCGATTAGTACAATAATTAGAGGAATTATAGTCATTAAGTGAAACGCACAAACATACCGACTAGTATTCCGTATTTTATCGAAATGAATAGAAATTGTGAGCCACACTAATATAATAGGATAATAATATCCTTCAGTTGGCAGATTACATGTAATAAGGATAATATCGAGACACATCATATCAATTGGCGTGATGGGAGTATAAGCAACGATCAGATTGGTTAGTTATGGACATAAGTAACATCTTGTTTCTGTTGGTTCAGTTGATGAAGAATCGTCATAAAGTTGACTTTAGTGAATAATTTTTCGTCAACAACAAAAGCATCCAGTTATAAATTTAAACCAGCATAATGTACTCAGAAGGTACTCACTTTAGATAAGGTATGATTATTGAATAAAGCTGAAATATTTTGTTTTCATATTGTTATAGATCAAGAACAGTTAAATACACTGCTCTTGAGAGAATTCATAGGGTCTTAGGCCTTTTTATCAAGTTAGAAAACAATCTACATTGTGCGTGTAATCATGATAAGCAAATGTTTGGAGCAATATGTAATTAAGCGATAACAATGAACTGCTTCAATAATCAAAGTTCTACATAAAACTCACAGGCGAAGTAGTTTACGAAGAGCAAGTATCCTCGCCTCCTTTGATGGATTCCCTAAAGTTTTATCCAAGCTAGGAGGAAGAAGAGCTAATGGCCACGTGATAAGGTATGGCAATATTGGGGATAAAAGAAGACCACCAGTCATACGAACGTCTGGATTAGGCCGACTCGAATTTACGGATGGTGGTATATAAGAATATATAACAGACTCCAGTTTAGTAACCAGCTTGAGGACGAAATATGTAAGTGAACACTTTGCAGTTGATTGAGGGAGCTGTAAACTAAATAAACCAATGGAAATTCAAAAGTCAAAAGCGACATGACAAAAAATGTATTACAAAAGCGTAATTGAAAGTCCTTCGGTAAGATAATATAACTATGCTATATTTTACATTCTTTTCTAATAATATCCTAAGTATAATTTGGAACTATAAATTAATCCTGATCGTTTCAGCGTCTTTATATATCAGGTAGGCTATAGAGAGTATTCAGTAATTATATATTAGTTTCTAATATTAAATAATGTCAGTTGATTAGTATACAGATAAATAAAATGAAGTGACTAAATTCATGAGTCCGAATTTCCTTTAAATTTCTAGGTTTGTTAATCAAAACAACTTTTTTAGAAATTCATTCCTATCATTTACAGCTGGGTATTCGGTAAAAACTCAACTTTACAGCCAAAATAGTTCTCAAATTTACTAGAAGTGAACTGACTTTGAAATTAAGGCGTAATTATCATCTCTGATCAAACTGTTAAATGTGTACATGTCATACAACAGCAAGAATGGTTTTCAGTTGTATTTTTAAGATCGCTGTAGAAAAGATGTAATGCAAAATACCATCACTAGCTCTTAATATTATTCCGAATTTTTACAATTATCCTGCCTGTTTGCTTGAGAAGCTGTTATTGATTCCACACATTCTTAGTTTCAAACTATTGGGAATCAGAAAACATTACTGGTGAAGATGTGACAACTAATTCTTCAATTTTAACTACCAACAATCATGAAGAAACATCATAAGCAATAGTGTAATTGTTTCAAATTTTAACTTAAAGTTTACATATTATCTGGAAACAGTAAAATGACGTTTGTACGCATAAAAAAGGTACCAGTAATATGACCAAACTCTTAGTTAGGGCTTCAGTTAAGATTTAATTGATCATAAACTGTAACAAATATGCTACAAATTCATTCACGATTACTTGTTATCGTTCTAACTGATTCTAAAGCTTGTTTCTTTAAATGTTTTAATGATACAACACGGAATAAAAAAACGTGAAATCAGTTCACAAAATACGTTATTAACAAATTAATTATGAACAAATGAAATATGGTAAAAATTGTCAAAGATTAAGTAACTTTGGTTTGAATTGAATTGATACCTCAAACCATAAAAATTGTTTAGTTTGATTTCTGCAACAAATAATCAAACACGTCCTCAGTATTCGTTCATTTTTAATTGAGAACTAACTAAATTTTAAAACCCAGAGTTTTAATTCGTGTCAAAACTCACACAAGTTTAACTTTTGTCTCCTGTGTTCGTATAAGTAACGAAACATGAATCAAGAGTACTCAAAATTTTCAAAATTAAATACGGTAACCCCTGTTTACTAAGGTGTTTTCAGAATTCAAAACATAAATAGTTGGTTAGATTCCAAAAATCATTTACTTGAATATAACAAAAGAGCTAAGAATACATCAAACGTGAATGACATAATTCTGTTAAAATTATCAAGTGATTGTCTCAATCATCATAGATTGAACATGATATGAATGACGTTTTACTTCCCTATAAAATAGTGACCCTAGACATGGTGAATTTAAGCTATTTATTGGGTTCACCACTTTGTTCTATCACATATATAAACCATATATACACTTGGGTTATGATACCTAATACAATAATAACACAGAACCTAAAAGTAGACATCCTATTTGATTTTACTGGTCTAGTTCTTACATGATAGTGTGACTACTGATTGCGATAATTTCTAAGTTTAATAAGTGAGGACATTTTAATTTGTACGATATAGTGAGATCGATGGTATTGTGGATGGGAATTACTGCTCCCATAGACCCCTTACTCGTCTAATTTTTTATGAACAACCAGAAAATGGTTGTACGTTATAGATACATTATGTAATATCGCTGATTGTAATAGTTAAGTCACTGAACTAGCTTATTTCCTAACAATAACGTCAAAATATACTGGCGAATTATGAAAGTCACTTTTTTATAAGAATAAAACTGTCTTTGTACCATGTACAAGTTAGTTTAGTGTACACCCAACATAAGAGGACATGGGCAATCGTCAAAAATAAGTTTAATGCAATCGGTGGAAACAGTGTATTTCACTTTTAGAGTGTGATTACCACGGAGAAGTTAATTTCAATAACTATTAGCAACACTTTAAAATAAGTATTCAAAAATTTAAAGCTAATCGACGGTGCCATTGTATTGTGTTCTTTGAATAAACAAACTATAAGGCATATAAAACGTCCAGACAATTGTTACATACCATGATAAATATGGCTTCTGGGTTATCATCATTTTGTGGAAATTGACAACATTCAGTATTGGTTCATTTGTAGGTCCAAGTTTCACGTCTATGCGTTGAGCGAATTCGACAACGCCTTTAATACATTCTACCTACAGTTTTTTTTATTAAATAAAGGATTTACTATCAAACCAATTTTAAGTTTCAAAACCTATGTGACATAAAGTTAAATTTATCTGCACTGATATTAGTTGTAAGTAAAGAGAGTGAAAATCTAGACTTTGTACAATTTTAAGTTGTTCAACTTACTAAAGACTGCCATGTTAAAAGTATATTCAGGTTTCTCAAAACTATGCATTATAAATATAGCCAATCAACTATAAGTTTATTTGGTCTCTTGTTTATTAAATTTACTTCACAGTTATTGGCTATATACCATGACGCAAAAAGCTGTTTTCCTCAGCTTTAGCAGAGTTAATATTATGTTATTCAGTATTTTCATAGGATATTTTAAAGCACTTTCATTATTTTTACTGCTTAAGGGTTAGAGCGATTTTATTTCAATACGTTCAGGAGTTCAGCAATTTATTTTTCATGATATGTGGTGGGTAGTTTTTGAATTGAGGAATCGTAAAACAAATTTCCAGACTACAAAAAATGTTTTAAAATAGCAAACAATTTTTATTTCATACACATATTTTTCACGATTAATGTGTCGATGGGTAATTACAGTTGTTAACTAAATGAAAATTTTTAAAATTTTTCTAGAAGAATTTGATTCAGAAAATAAATTATGATGTAGAATAAGTATCAAGTGTGCAAAAGATTCAAACCTAAGTTCACCGTGAATTTTGATGAGTCCACTTTTCCAAATGCATTTATAATAAAGTAAACATTAGGAATAACTCCACCTGGAGCTCCTCTAGAGCTACCACTGGATAAATAAGAAGGTCTGAGAAGAGAGTCATCAATCACCCTAAACCAAGGCTGCCTAGTTTCACCTCTCTTTTATCTTCTGCTTGTTGATTAGATTATGAAGTTCAACACATATAAGGAAATACATAGAATACAGCGAAGACCTTGGATAAAGCTGGATAATTTGAACTTTATGGATGACTTAACACTTGTATCACAAACAAAATAAATTTAGGTGGAAAGAGACGATGTAACAGCGGCTTCAGCAGAAACACGCCTAAACACTTACAAGAAAAAAGAAAGATTCTGAAGGACAGTATATTACGAAACAACCAAATCAGACTTGGTAGAGAAGCTCTGGAAGTGGTGGAAACTTTTACGTACCTGGACAACGTCATGAATAAGCAAGAGGAATTTGATGCAGATGTGAAGGCACGGATTAGTGTAGCCATAAGAACATCCATACAGCTGAAGAACATCTGTAATTCGGAACAACTGTTTCTCAACTCTAAAGTCATAATTTTCAACATAAATGTTAGAATAATTCTATTGTACGAAGCTAAAACGTGAATAACTAACACAACTATCACTAGAAATGTACAGGCGTTCATAAATAGCTGTCAATGCAAGATATTTCGAATCCATCGGTCAGAGACCGTACACAATAATCTTCTGTGGCAGAAAACAAGTCAGGTGCCAGTTGAGAAGGACAAAGCATCCTACCAAAACCATCTGACTATCTTATAGGCAACCCCTAACATGAAATCTTCGAAGTAAAAGATGAAGAGACAGAACAAAGACTACATAGGTCTGAAGTTTGGAGGCAGACATTAAGATCATGAATAATACTTGGAAGGAACTGAAAATAAAAGCCCAGAACAGAGTTACTTGGAGACTATTGGTCGGAGCCCATACACGATGAAGGTATCAAGCATAAGTTTGTAATCAAATGATAAGAATAGAATTGTAGTTACAGCAACCTCGTTATTATGATGATTCGTTTGGTTTAAAAGTAAATACATACATTTTAGTTAATTTATATAAAAAAGTTTTAAAGCTTAAACATTCATCTAGAAGAAATTAACGTGCGTTTTCGTATTAGTTAATAGATGTTCACTTTAATACTGAGTCACGTGTATCATACCAATGAATTTAACAAACAAACGGATAGTGTCTTTTGAACAAACCAAAAGTTTTGAACATGTTTTACAAGTGTATATCTATTAGTTGGGATGGGATTCTCATCGTTCCAACCTCTTTTTAACATTTATTATATTACATTTGAAATAAGATGACAATGTCTATAATGAGTTTCTTTAAATGTTTTTCTAAAAAAGATTATATTTGCACTAATTATCATGTTATTTTTGTAAACTACTATTAAACTGAAATAATTTATTCATAAATCTTCAAGTCTCGAGAACGCAAATTCTGTCCCAAAAATGAAGACTACATTTCATTTTTCAGTAAACTTAGAGACCAACCGTTTATTTAATCGAAGCTAAAACATATAATATTACCAGATACAATAAGCGTTTAATATGGATATAATATCGTAAATTTTGATTGTTCGAAAGTAACTTACTACATCTCTCGCATCTAGATCTAGTTTACGTTGTGCGTATGGCAGATTTGAAAAAGGATTAGGCCTCATATTTTCCCAGGTGCATGCTACGAGTGATAGATTAGACAATCTGTGTACGAGACAAAGAGTTCTCAAAGCACATTCTATTGATAAAGTACTGATAAAAAGAGCCATTGTGCTATCCAGAATATATTGCTGGCAACATTGAAGCCACAGTCTTGATCTATCCGGCGAAAACAAACCATAAAGCAATGCTACATTTAAAATCGGAACAGTTCCCGAAATCGCATATTTTTCAGTGAAACCAGGTTCTTCCTCTTCTTTTTGTAAAATTTCATCATACATGCATAATTCAGATAGACCATCACGTAAAATCTTTAAAGTTGCATACGACATCATAGTTGGCGGACCTACCATATGCAACGAAATCATTTCCAACAAAAGATCAGCATCATACCATCGTATTAGCCTTCCGACATCATTAATGGCCTAAAAAAAGAAACTGTTATTAATCTCAAAAGTCTGCTATTTCGTGACACAAAGTGAAACAGAAGTGTTGATTAACATGAAAAAGGGTATCACCTTTATATAAACCACAAAACCTACTATCAATACAAGAATATTTGTAGTGTGTAGCGGAACGTGGCGTCGAAATTGCAACAGTTGTCTGACGGAATGAAGTTTGAGTGCATAGAAAGCACAGCATTTGACGGAACATTTAGTAACCAGACGAGAAGACAGTTCAGATGACAGAATACTCCATAAGATGCAAATAGACGATTGCAAGCTATGTATTTGCACTATGTCAATAGTTTGTAACTTCTTGTTACCTTTCTTTTGCCTATTGTTTTAATTTATACTTGATCATTATCATAAAACGATGAGATGAAAAACCATAAGCAAGAAGGCAATACAGGCAGAAGACTAGATATTCAGTATTTTATATCCTGGGAACTACAAATGTTAACTGACGAAAACTTTGCTCATTGAAGTAAGAATGTTGTGTTAGGCAAATAATAATTGGAAGTTATTATTCAATGAACTGTTAGATGAAATACAAAAAAGGTCCCGAACATTCTAGACACCAAAATGCCTTCCATTATTCCCCTTTTCTCCATAAACATATAATTTCAGATTGAATAAAGGCTGAATTGTTCTCTCTCTCTTAAATCACCTAACTTCAGTACGTAAAGCCAAATGCTGAATAAACCAGTTAAAAGTAGATCGATAACGTACTGAGGTTGTTTTCAGTGACATTTATGAAATAACATACTTGTGGAATTTAGTATATATATGACCACAATGTACTTAAGGGGTTATAGAGGTTCCAAATTTCGTTAGTATAGTTATACTATAGTAACCTCGAAGGTATTCACATCAAAGTGTCTGGTTACTTCCGAAAACTTCGTCCAAACTTCTGAACACGTCGTTGGAAATATTTCATTGCAAACATGCTAGGATAATTTTTATGTTAATGTCTTCAAAAAATACTTATAAGCATGTGTTTGAATCCAAGCTGATTCAAAACAACAATTACAGATAACTGATAGTGGTCAACAATGTGACTTAAAATTGACTGGAAAAGATAATGTTAGCTTTTTGTTATCAAACCTGAGCATGGTTTATTTTCATCGATACAGTAAATGTCTAATTCATGTGCGTACATTTTTTTATTTGTGGATATGATCTAACAAAACAATTTATCAAACATTAATGATAGGAAAAATTACATATAACGGATACTTTTTGGGCCGAATGACGTAGACCATTGTTCTCATCTAATGTACACTCTACAGCTAATCGTAATATATTGAATGACATAGATTTCATGCTGATAGAATTTAACTCTGAATGACCGACATTTGTTTTACTCGTTGAAGTTAATCCTGACACTATACTTAGACGTTTGATCCACGACTGAGTTTTGCTATCCGTCTGTTTATCCTATAAGAAACCAAGAAAGTAAATTCACTTAAAGTATTATGCTATTATTAACATCAACATTACCTTAAATACAATGTTAATTATCACCTTATGAAAAATCATTTATTTATTTTTAAGAATAATTATTTCAATATAACAAATATTTTTTAGATTTACAGAAAAGTTCATATATATAAACGATTCAAGAAGCAGTTAATCTTTATTTGCGGTTAAAGAGATAGAATTTCCAGATTTGCTTAATGTCAACTGATGCTGTTTTTTTTCCATTATACTGATGAGCAGCTTTAGAAAAGTAGTATTTAAAGATCTTATAAAATATCAATACTTCTAAAACACACGCTTTATCAGATTATGTGTGACGAAACAGATGCCGAAATTAGATGAACTCTTATCCTTTTAGGGCGAAAAAGGTGAGGTCTAACATAAATAAAAATTCATTATATATGAGAATCGGAAATTTTGATAACCCCTTACTAGCAGCTTCACCAATGAAGCAATATTTATGAAACTGCTGTGGCATAAACATGCGAAGTGATGTCTTTTAACAAGCTAAAAAAATTCCGAGATCTGTTTACTTGAAATGTTGAAATGTTATTACTTAATTATGCAGTTGATACTACTGGGAATTATGAATTATGAATTTAAATTAACGGTAAGATGAAAATTTTCATTCATTACATTTTAAGAATAAAACTATTGGATTTAGTTGTTGAAAAAATGTGTGTTTTGAAGATGTTCGGAAACTTGTAAAGGCGCATTTTGAAACATGTGATCACAGGGCTCAGTGAATATAATGAAAATTCGCCTTAGTGATGAGAACAATGGACTACAAATATTACTTGTATGGTACTGACAAAGCTTCATCATTCAAAAACACTTCCATTTATAAGAAAATTAAAAAAAGAATCAGAAAATGATTTGAGACACTATGTAACTTATTAATAGTTTTTGATATAGATTAATTCTTTTCGATTCGTCCCATTTACTACACTTGCTTTGTAATCAATATTTTAAAAAAAATCAGTCAAACCTTTCAAATAGCACAATAGAATTGTAAATTTATTAATATTCTAAACAGTGCCAAAATAATTATGTTTTAGTAGTGTCTTTTTGATCCAAATCACAGAAACATATCAAGTGGGAGCTGAATAAATTAAGATACAGATGGACGTAAATGCATCAGATATAATAAATAAAGAGCATCGTATAGTAAACAAATATCTAGTTTATATTCAGCATTTTCGAACACTGTTAAACATGAGCATGGTGTTGTGTACAGGAAGGTAACAATCTTATACGTTGGGCAATTGGTCAATTTCGGTAACTTTTAGTAATTTTACTGACTGAATATACAGGTCAGATAAAAGGAAAATTTCTAAAAAATGTTCGAAATTTACAATCAAAATAAACATTCAGAAAACGTAAACTCACATTTCTTTCGTTGTCGAGCATTCGGATATTTTCCAAAACTGTTAAATAAATGGACGTTTGTGGAGAGCTTAATTTTGCCCCCTGTTGAAAGCTAAATAAACGAAAGAAAGGAGTGACATTATCATTAACTGATAACACTGAATGATGATGATCGAGCAATATTGCAAACTGATTAGAGTTGAATATGCGACACTAGACTTCAGTTCATTAGCTGATTGTTAAGTGCTCTACATGAAACTTAAATATTGTGGATACAATCTAGCGTAAAGTCGAAGGTGTGGTTTAAAACAAAATGAAATGGTGGATCAATACACCTTGGTTTCTGGATAGCTCTGTAGTTGACACCATGTAGTGATGAAAGCAACATTTAATGAACACAACGACAACTTATAAAAGAGAAGTAACTGTCTCAATTAAGTTGATTTTTACAAATCCATCAGCTAAAATTAAGTTATTAAGATTGTATGTGTCACTGAAAACAGTTTATAATAATAATTAATTCAGGTCTTTTTTCACTAGTTTAGCAACAATTTCTTTTTATAGAAATAAACTGAAGCTCTGATTTCTATTGTTATTGTTAATTTTCAATTAAGTTTTGATCAGCTTACATATTAAATAGAAGTGTTACTATAACTAAATCCGTTATCATGGTGAACGAATAAGAATGACATTAATGAATGATATCATTTTTGTCATGTACAGAAGGATAATATTTCCTCGAACCATCTTGTAGTTCCTCTTCCAAATACTTTTAATCAATGTTTACTTCAAGTCAGAATTATTTCCTTGGTGAGCTTAGTTTATAATGTATGAAATGTATAAACAAAGAATGCTGACTAACCAATTTTAAATCGTATATGTATGAAAGGAGAAATCGTGGTAGAAAGTGAAATTGTACCTTATTTCTTTTCAATAAATTCATTATCAAACTGTACAGTTTATCTAACTGGGTTTTCTTTTCTTGTAAAAGCAGTTAGGAGTTGAATATAAACATAATTAGCTGATTTCAATAACCCAACTAACCTATACGGTATTTAAACGTTAGTTAAACGATCATTTTAGATCTATGAAGATTATTTCGGCTACTATTGTTTAAAAAAATAAAAGCATTGGTTAACTGGAATACGGTTTTCGTGTGCAACATAAAACTCTTTGAAATATGTATTTGAAATGGTCTTAACCTATTACTATTCTTGATGATAATAATTTCATTTATTAAATTATTGTACTGGTTCATTGAATTATGTATCGATTTAAGCTGGCGTTTTACTGAGTTGTGATTTCATTTCACATTCCTTCGGATTTAATGATATAATAATAGTCATTGTAATTTGCTTATTACATTCACATTGTAACTGATCATTAGCATAGTAGTCTTGTATCCATAGTTTATTTATACTCACTATATAAATATTATGCCGTCTTGTATGTTTAACATTTTATATTATATATGATGTTATAGTTCTCATTATTACTCTGACAATGCTACTCATTGTTCAAACTTTCTCGCGTGACTAAATCATTATAAATGCATCGATATGCAAACGAATATTTTGATCATAAATTCACTGAAATTGAATGTCTTCATCGAATTTCACTGTTTGGTATTTTAATGAAAATTATTAAATCATCACAAAAAAATATTGTAAAATGTAAAATGGCTTCAAGTAGACGGTTTAACTTTACTTACAGCGTTGGTGAACTTTCTACAGGTTGTGACTATAAGGAAACCAAAATTTAACAAAAATGGAATAACCTAGCTATCAAAAGGTTCAAACTAGTAACATTCATTAATAATTTGCTAAAATGGACGTTTTCCTTGAAGTTAGCAATTCATACATATGTACTGATCTCAGATTGATAAAATCGTTACTTTTCTTTGTTTTTTAAAGTATATTTCCAACAAAATTTATATGAACCGAATGGAGGTTTGTGGAGAATGTAGTGATTTTAGTAGTTAGATTCATGAGTCGATGCCGGCTCAGTGGTTTAAAGGTTAAGCGTCCGCGCGCGAGACCGAAAGTCCCGCGTGCGAGATCGTGGATGCGCACTGTTGAGGAGTCCCATACTAGGACGAAACGGTCGTCCAGTACTTCCAGGTTTTCAATGGTGGTCTATCTTACATCAACTCATGAATTCAACTATTAAAATTTATTTGAATTGTGAACAATGAACTGTGTTCAACTTTTTTTATGATCATGACCTAATTTGTTTTTAACCGCAATGGTTTTACTATTCGAATAAGCGATATATATATATATATATATATATATATATATCCAGATACTGCTCACCCTACACTGAGTAGAAAAGACATAGCGTCATATCACTTCAATTTCTTTGGTAAATGTCTTTGTAAATTCATAAGAAACGTCACACATTTGTTCAAAAGTTGACTGTACTGACATGCTATAAAGTATACAGATTTAAGTTTATTCTGAATCAGGGTTTAAACACAATTTTTATCTATTATAACCATCCATCAAGTGGTCGTATGAATTAGGTGACGAAATGGTCTTTAGAACACTGTCCTCGATAGCTAAAATATTCCTTCTGAATAGTGTTCTACAGTTTTCGGATGAGCGCATAACTTGATGACGCTAGAAATAAATGGAAAAAGATAGAAAGATGGATGTAAAGAATTGATGTTTTTGGTTTATCACAACTTTCTAATTAAGTCCCCAAATATCATGCAACCGAGTAGTTTTGAACGTCACTGAACATGATCCAGAGTAGAAATTAGTGCAGATTTCCCTGTAATTTTTTTGTAACAGCCTTAACAACAGCTAGATGAACTAACTTCATTAGTAAAACAAAAATGAAGTTATCTAATTAGATAAATACTCTAGTATTTTTCACAAAACTATGATTCCTCCCAATTTTTATGTACACATTATATTATGACTTATTTACAGGTAAACCACTGTAACCTTTTTAATCTCTTTACTTGAAGCAAACCCATTCCATTAAAAAAAGTCCATAAGGAAGCATTCTTAAAAAGCCATAAAAAATCATGTATACTCATAATAGTAAGCTATGTTCCATGAGAATTATCCGTTAATCATTTTGCTATCTACTGCTTAATGATACTGAGAGATCGACAGGATTTGGTAGAATCCAAGAATACTTTCACATCTAAATACATCAAAGCGAACTTCCTGAGACCTATAACTAAAATAAAAGTTCGTGTAAAAATGAATAGACTTAAAACGAAAGGCTAATATTATTCTATTCAAAACTTGAATGTTCCTTTAGATGAACCTAAGTACAAAGTGTGGTCATCAAAAATTAATAGGACGTCTATAATAAACCTATGACAAGGCTAATTTAAAATGTTGAACTAACCGATGCTGATGATTTAATAACTGGAGCTCGACGATCTGGATTTGAAACAAGAGCGGGAGGAATTGATTTTGGCACAGGACTGAAGCCAAATTGGTGTAAATTATTATTTGATGATGTATATAAGGTTCTTTGAGGAAAATCATCTAAAAGGACAAACGATTTAGAATTGTTTATCTAACCAGTTCAAAGGGATTTTACCTGTAAAGGTTGGGCTGATACAAAAGTCTTCAGAATTCATTGGGTTATAACCATCAGCATCTAATTCGTGAAGAGCTTTAAGATGAAGCCCAACTAATGAGCGTGCGACTAAATAGTACATGCGCATGCGCCCCTCACGCCATGTCCAACTTAATTTGGAGCTCACAGTCAAAGGTATTTCTGTAAAAGAAAAAAATAAATAAAAGGAAAATAGTTCAACATATTCCAACATAATTATAACATTTTCGCGTTGTAAGCACAACAAAGATGACTATTTTATGTGATTCATTGATTCACTTTGAACAACTAATTTATGATGAATCTCGAACATGATATATGAAATGCTATTAGATACAAGTAGAAAAAAATTTACAATTGTACATTAACTTGCATTTAGACGTAAGAACTTAGCTTGTTATGTTATATCGTCACTATAATAGCAAACATATAGAACAATGCCTACATAATATCAGTATGTACCAGCTGTTTGACTGATTCGTGACGAAAAGGTTTAAAATACTTGGAAAAGTTACAGATTGGTCGAATTATCGACAACTATTAAGTGAATAATTAAATATTTTATTTGCTCCTAATGATTATCGTATAAACGTATGAGTAAAATAAATATCGAATGAGGAAATATTTAATGATGTTTATTTTGGTTGGTGATATTATTTTGATTAACGTAAGAATCTGTGAATAAAAATTATGAAATAAACTTGCTTTTTATGCTACTTACCACGCGGTGTGATAGTTTCCGTTTCGTTTATTTGAATTAGTAGTTTTGAAAGAGGTGATAACACATCTTGCTTAACTTGCCACTTCTCCAATATTTTATTCAATAGATAACGAATACGATTGGGATTTTTTGATGCACTGATGACTTGTAAAGTGGAAAAAATCAACATCTTGACATAATTATTAGCATAATTACTTGTGGTTACATTGAATCTTAAGTAATGTGACGAGACTGTCAAATCATGTATCAGTCATCATCAAATATATGAAATGAAGATTAGCAATTGAATGACTGGGAAAAGGATATGACAGATCCAACTGATTCCTACAGGTTTGGAAACTCTTAACAGTGAGAGACTCCGCCAAGGATTGAACTTAGGACCTTTAGGTTGCCTTGATTCTATTAAACAAGAGTCGAATTTCTAGCCTCAGTCAATTCGCGATATATCTCATCCATCATTTACTGTCTTCGGTCATGACCGCAAAACTCAATATGATTAAAAGCAAATAGTAACAGTTTATTGCTAATTCTTTTCCAATGGTTCTTTAGCGAACGCCGCTTAATGACGATAAAAAACTTCAAGTTAGCAACATACTTCAACATTTGCACGCTATCAGAGCTTCTGAAACATCTTTAAATAATTTCAGAAATTTACGTAATCTTTTTTTTAAAGTAACGACCTCACGTCTTTTTGAATAAAACATACTTGTAAAACATTCGACGATATTGCGTAAAGTCTGTAATTACTGAAATGTGTATTGGAGACTTCGATTTCCAACTGTTCGTGAAGAAATTTGCTATTACCTATGGATTATATGCGAGTCACTATTACTGGCATTTAATGGCATCACACTGGGTTAAGTATTTATTATTAAAAGGTGTCAACAAAAGTCATGTGATGAAATTTTTCTGGTGTAGACTATGATAGGGGTATTTGAAAAGACACAAATTTATATTTTATATGGTATACAACAAATCTCTAAAATAATAGATTGTAAGAACCATCTGATAGACTCCTCTAAAATGTCTTACACAATGTCAGGTACAGACTGCATGCACTATCGCGGACATATTGAGATGAATGACCCAAATAAAAATTAACTAAACAGTTCTGTAAGTCCCCAGTATTCGAAGGCAGATTGGTTTCACCAACTTTCTAAAATTAACATATGAAAATTTTGTAATTAAATTGATATTTTATTTAAAAGAATGGTTGCTGAATAAGGGACTTTACGTAAAAACATCTAACTTTAAAATATTTCTATGTAACTGTTGAGTAGGCTTTCCAAGAACTGCAACGGAGCCTCCAGAGGCCCTAAAGGGGCCGGAGTGCTAGCTAATCAGAGCATGATGGAGCTTTCTAGAATATCGACGTGGCGTGCTACTATTGGTCGGTAGCATAATGTCTTCTAGCGGATTGGCCAAAATACGATGTTGATTTAACAAATGTTAACATTTATAAATACCCGTGTTTTTCTGTACAAAATTGAACCTTTGGTGTAAAGTGTTTTTCACTTATTTTGCTCCTTTTCTCTCGAATTCAGGTTGCTGCGTTACCAGAATAGCTTAGAAACCGAATAAAGCGTTCAAATTGACAGGACTTATCAGTAACATTACTTGATTTTCGCTCTATAAATTGTATACTATTTGCGTAGCTGTATACATTTGGACGTTTTGGAAAGAATATCTAATAGGATGATTGATTTCTAGTCTAGGATTCAGAGCTGGATTCAGAAATAAGAAATACAGAACACATTTTACGCTCTCACTGGTTACCAACAAATTATTTTTATGATCATATTGTTTAGTAAGTGCCTGGATACTTTTGTTTTATTTTACATTCTTATAGGGTAAGAATAAACACAATTAATATGAAAAATAATAAATTATTATGAATGTTGAAGAAAAGAATTTTCAGCCACATTGGTAATTTTGATAATATGGGAAAACTTACCTTAATTAAAGATCGACAAAGAGTTAGGAGACTTTCATTGAAATATGGGTTACTTTTCCAGCTTTCGAAATTTGAGGGCTGCAAGCAATTAATATAACTGTCTGATAACTAAAGTTTTAAGTTATTAAAGGCTTTAAATAGAGAATGTATGGTGACATATTGAGTCTGGTAAAATGTAAAATATGCAATGCAAAAATAAAGCCTAAAATTGTATTTCTTTTGTTTTGTTGTTTGGTCTTGTTAAAGCATTTGATTTTTCTCTTAATTAACTGACAAAAATTAAGGAGAAAAGATGTATTTAAGAAAAGGAAGCAACGATTATTATGAATAGATGCGATGTCAAATTAAACACTAATTCCTTTGAATGAAAGCTACTGTTCTAAAAACGGTTGAAAGTTTAGTGTGTCACTTAATTACAGACACTCATAAATGAAAAGAAATGTTACTTTATCAAGCGATCGGTCATGTCAGTTATGTAAAAACTTAGACATTGGTTGATTTATGAAATATTTAACAATATATTAAGACCATTTTTATGTACGCCAATTAGTGTAAAATCTTTTTTACTAACTTTAAGAATAGTACATTAAAAGAAAGTGAAAATAAAAGCTTACTGATTTATCTTGGTAGGTTTCAGATTGCTTATCCGCGTTCATGCATAAATCATTTACAGTTTGAAGAAGAACTTCTTTAAATGTCTAATGATGTATACACAAACAAACACTGATAATAATATTAATGATGTTACTAAAATTATTAATATTATTATCAACAGTTATATGATTAGTTATTTATTAGTTGCATTATATCTGATCATTTTGAGTGGCGTTTGATGTAGATGGTATGCAAATTCTACTGTTGATTCCAAGACTATTGTTGATTGGAGTCATTTCCAATATCTCAATATGGATATACTTGATGTGATGGTCCCATTTGTTATTCATTCAAAATACGCAACTACTAGATTACTTTTCCTCATAAACTGATTCTTTAGGCTTGTTCTTAAAGCTTACAGTGAAGTAATTGATTAATTGTAAAATTCATTTTAAATCGCCGTAACACTGAATAAGACAAAAAATAATCTTGCAGTAAAACAAATTTCTGTAATAACTATATTCATTAGTGCACTTGAGAATGAAACAAGTTGGGCACTGAAAATAGCACACCGAACCTTGTTTCATAGATTCGTGTTGCCGGTGATAGGTAAAGAGTTGGCAAAAAAGGTGCTAACAGAAAGTCTATGAGTAACCAGATGTAAACAGTTCCCGATTGAACTCAGGAATCACAATCTTGGATACACAAAACTATCACTACTAATCTAGTCTTAAACAAAGCAAGAACAACTTTTTCAGGTACCTCAGGGAGAAATTTATTTTTTGGTGAGTAGTACAGGACAGCTCCAGCTACACACATGCTTCTGATAGAGCTCAGATGTTCTAATGATTAAAATGTATTATGATTCAAAGCTTTGGACTGATGTGAACTTTGATTAGCTGAAATTTGATCGATTTATTGGACCAATTCAATTGATTCTGTTCACCAAATCGAAAAAGTGTAAACTAAGCAAAGTTTTCAAAAAAAATTACGATTGAAACCTACTTCATTCGAACATCGACTGAGGCAGGTTAGATAAACTCTGACTGCAGCTTTGCGTACATTGAAGTGATTACTCTGAAACAAGTTGGTAATCATCGTACTCAGTCTTGGAAACAACTGATTCTGAACGTACTCCTATATATGTAACAAGCGAAAATAAAAGTTTGATATTTAAGGTGTGTGAACATGTACCTAAATGGTTGCAGAAACAAATAAAATCACACGAAAATTCAAATCCTCTTTGTATGTTCAAAAACAGATAGTTTTTATCTTAAAACTACCCTGATAGTGTTAGCTTATTATCCAGAGTGATGAGGTTTCAAACTGTTTTCACACTGTTTTCTTTATTATCCTTGTCTCTTTTTACTCTCCATTTGTCTCTTTGATGTTTTATTATTATACATAAATGTCCTTAACAAGTATATGTGTAATCAGATTGTCCAAAATGTAATGCACTAATATATCATATAGTTCCGATAATCTTCGTTTTCCTATAACGCTATCGAAATTTATCAAAAGAACTAATTGTCTTAAAAGTTTATTCACTTAAAGAATATTACATTAATAGAATTTATTGAGGGCTTATAAGGTTGGTAACAAAATGGTTTCTAACTTGTTTGCTTACCTCTGAAAATTTATAGGCAGAAAGATTCGTTTTTGACATTAGTGTGTTTCCAGATAATGATGTCCTTGAACTACATAATTGCTCGCTGGGCACCAGCCTTCTCAGCAAAACATTAAGTACTGAAAACAGTAATGAAATATCTCTATAAAAACCTATTAGTTCTGTATAACTTCCCATGTACCACATAAAGGAAAATAGACCTCAAGGAAAAAAATATGTCTGAGCAGAAATAAATGTTAGTAACTAAAATAGAATAAATAAATGTAGTTAAGTGTTAATGTAAGGTCTAAATACGACGTTGTAATAAATATCAAAAATATGATGAGTACCAAGCTACCGAAAGATTATTTGAAACTACCTACTAAATGGTGAATCTGAAGAAGGCTTTAGGACAGCATGTTGAAAAATCATAAGTAATACCTCAATCAACGATATTCTTGTTTATGATACCTGGTTTTTATGGAATCTCAACAAAATCTATATTAATTTGTCTTTCAAAGCATTTTGGGATGGAAATTATGTTTTGAGTTCAATGGGCTTGAACTGTTTTTCCAAGGCTTATGACTCATTGCGATAACATGTTTACTTCATGTTAGGTATTCAAATATTACCTTTGTAACAGGTTTACAGTGAACACTTTAAAACTCTTAAATTGAAGCAGTAATAGCAACACAACTGAGTTTGGTACATCCCTCAGGAAACGTATTTGTATTTCTACCAATAGTACTTCATGTAAAAAATAGTATGCCGTAAGTTAATTATTTAAATTAAATAATTTTTTCAATTATTGAGTTACAATAGAGACGTTTACACTAGCAACTGGCTGTTACATTGCGTTAACAATAAATAAACGATGAAATGTTATTGTAGATTTCATTAGTATCACTATATAGAGAAACCTTTCTTACTATCTATGACACCTTCAGTTACTTCACTAGCACAGACTTCTGGTTTCTCCAATATCTGAAATTGTGAACGAATAAAATCATGAATTAGTCAATAAATTTTAATGAAATTATGGAAACGATTAAAATGTTTCACTCCAAATTTTTTTATGATCGTGACCTACTTTGTTTTTAACCGCAATGGTTTTACTGTTCGAATAAACGATATATATAGGCTGTAAACAGTTTAATTTTAGTCAGTTTACTATTAAGCGTGAACTAATGTAATTTCGTTTGTCATAATTCTCTTACACTGTATACATAGTATTCAAACTAACGATTGACAATGAAAAGCTAATCAACAAAAAATGAACAGATGTCAGGTATGAAAGAAAAATTTAAGATAAGCCACTGATATGAACGAAATGTATCAGGGCGTGAAATAATATTTTTCTAAAATAGGACTTAAACCTTTATAGAATTGTCGTAATGCTTTTTTCCTAGAGGTAATATTAACAGAAACAACAAAAAGAAATGTAAAGGTGTACATTTGAAACTTTGTGAGGTTGTCTCAGACGGATACCCGTAAAGTTGATACCAGATAGTGCTAACTGTAAAATTGAAAATACGTTACTGAAAATAATTCAATTAACTTTGTATTTTGAATATGTGGTCAACACAGATTGATTGCAGGCCAAAAACGTAAGGCTTGTTCTCTTCTTTCTTGACTGAAATCTACTAGATATTATTTACAAATGGTCAGTGAAGTAAACAATATGAAAGATTTATGCGATCACACGTCTAGACAAAGAGTGCTCATCGCATTATAGTATGTTCATGTTTGAAATGTCACCCTCAGAAATTTATTAGTAGTTTAGGTGGATTTCGTCATCGAAGTTTGAATTAATTATACAAATGTAGTCGTTAGTACACTAAAAATAATTTAGAGTGTTGATATTGTTAACATAAGCGTTGGTCGAATTTACCTAACAAATGGAATAAATCTTAACACGGCTGAAGTTATGCCCCGCTGCCTAATCATAATTGTAGAACATTCTTTTCATCAACTTTTCCTAAGCACTTGAATACAATGCATCACTTACATACGTCTCTAAGTAATTGCTTACTGTTAATGTGCGTTTATATATATATATATATATATATAATCTACATTCCTTTGGATTTACTGTAATTCACATATTATAAACACTACTAAATATTATAATCGTAACTGCAATTACAGTGATTGTCATTTGAATGACCCTAATTCAGGCAGATTTATTTATATTGGTTAGAAATAAAGCAATGCTAGTTGAAGAAAAAAGAAAATGGCAGGCCTTGGTTTACTGAATAAATATTGGTTTTTGTATTTACTCATACAAATAGTATTATCACTGCTTAAAATGAATAAGACCTATTTGAGGTATTCTCATATGTTTAGAATAATCTGGGTTATTTTAATTGTTATTATCTTTCATGCAGCTTGATTTTCACGCATTTCAGAAAAAGAAGAAATGAGACAGAGAGAAGAGATTGATTTTTTAAGAAACTATTAGAATATATATATATATAAGCGTCAGCCAAAAGTACTGACCTATAACAAAACAGAAAGTATATTGTAACCGTTTCAAGGCTAAACTCACTAACCAACGAGTACTGTTAGTATGATAAGCGTTACACATGTTATAGTAATAAATCTTTATTCATCTATCTATATACGTATATACTGAGTAATCTACCTAAGCACTGTAAAAATCAGTTTACAGATTATCAAAACCAGATAATCTAATCAACGTAGCATGAAAACAAGAAAGTAAGTAAGCTAATTTGTTTGTGAATAATATAAATGATTTGGATCTTCATTTGCGTTTAGACATAAGAAAAGAAACATAATTGGATAAAATGCTAAGAATAAAAATTTATTCCTGCCTATATTGTGTACAGTTGCTTACTTAAAACATTAATCACAGATAAATAAGTCTTGCTTTACCGATTATACTTACACTACTCACAAAGAATGATGAATAATCACTATCAAAACTGGATACGCAGCAAACAATTTAGATTACATCTCGAAAATGTTGAGAAAATGTCATTAAATTCAGCAGTTATAATGTGTATATCTTGATAAAAATCTTATCCAGCGGATCCGAATATATTGTAATCTCTATATTTGTCAGTATACTGACACAATGAACATTATTTGACACAGGAAACTGTCCTAAACGACAATCAAATGGTACCCAATTCATCGATTTTTAATACAGACTGCAGTGTGCTAAAGAATTCGGAAGGTTAGCATGATTACTACAACTGTCATTCCATTTAAAGGTATCCACTACTTAAACAATATTAGTTTTATCCTGAAATAAAAGGAAAACCTTCTGACATAAAAACTATTTTAAAACATTCTGTTGAAAATAGACCTAAAAGTATACAAAGTATTGAAATCGATTTGCGTTTGACTTAAAAACCCATTCACTTAGTAAATTTCAGAGGGTAATATAAAGGAACATATCTGTTGTTAATCGAGATGCCCTTTTACTGGGATCAAGACTATGACTGTAATAGCATACTAAAACTGACAGTTGAACAGCATAAGAGTTTAAGTTACTAAGTGTTGCAAGACAGTAACTGTAGTGACCAGTAATTGTTGGCAGTAAATTAAATAACATTGAGCTGAACTATATTTGTATAAATCTCCAAAAACCTATTACTTAGTTATTTTATTTTTCATAAATTTCTGTTTCTTCAAACCATAAGTCCCTACGTCAGACGCCCTTCATTTTTCCCTCAGTGCAAAATAACTTTCTCGTTGAATTCGGTGCTCTATTAAGGTGTTGGTTTTACGCCTTATTTTCAATGACATTGTGAGTGCATTCATAAACTAATGCCGGTGGTCGTAAACAATTTTCTTTAAAATATTTCAAAAAATCTTCCGACAGAGAAACCTGGTTCTAAGGACTGGATAAGGAGGTGTTACCTCCAGCTTATCAAACGTTGAAGTTAGTAGTATATTAATTTGTGAACGTGGCATGAGTTTCAAAAGTATCATTCCCTGTTAAATCTTTATTTTCTACATACGGTTGCAAACTCTCAGCCAGGTTATTTTTTACGCTTTAAGGTTTTTGTTTTTTGGCCTTTTTGCCAATTGGTGGAGAAAAATGATAAACTTTAAAAGCATATATCAGTCAAATATTCATATAAATCAGTAATAAACACACAATTATTAGATTAGTTTCATTTGGGGTTTCAGATCTTAGATTAATATACATAAATACTAGGTTCTACGTTGCGTCTGACTTCGACTTTCAACACCGTAGAATACATAAAAATTAAGAGTTGAGCCATTTACTTTAATGTATTTCTAAGTTGCTTCAATACGAATATTGAACCGATCAATCACTATACAATTGTTAAGGACTAAGTTTTACAGAACCATTTTTACCAAGTGAACTGGATGACACCATACTACTGTTACTACAAATGTACAGAATCACTTAAGGTCCAGAAATCTATATTACGTTTGGTTATGATAATAAAATCAGGTATATTTCGTAATGGTCATTAAACTAGAACAGGTTATTAAGTTAAAGTCTCGGTTTACTGGAATGATTATATTCAACATTATCAAAATGAATTCCATTAAAATTACTTTAATTTTATATCTTTGCAGGGTATTCATTGGAAGGCCTCAGAAAATCTATTGTTATTCATTTTAGGCTAAAATGTAAACATGTACCCTGCCAACACAATACATAATATTTCACCATAGTAACATGAACTAGTAATCACGATGACGATAGCAATAATAATAGAACTAGATAGACTAGCATACAGTATTTCCTCAAAATAGGCATTAATCCATAAGAAAAATAAAGTTATCGTTTTAGATTCTTATAAACTTTGACAGAAATTTAGGCTGATCATCCTATTTGTACAATTTACAGAAAAATTAACAATCATATTTGATGGCAAACGAAGTAAGAGAACCTTCTGGTGGGTTATATTAAACTTTTCCGTTCATTCTTGCAATATAATATTGATATCATTTATTCATTAATCTTTAGCAAAACGTCATGATCTTTTCATAGTAACTAACCAAGTAATTCATTTAAATTAATAAAAACAAAAAGCCTTGTAAATTAATCTTGTTTTTTTAAATCACTTAATTGAACTCTGTTTAAGCAATAATGAAACAAAAATTTACACTGCAACGGACAGAAGTTTTTAAGATAGGTATAATCGACCACACGAAAGCTGAAGACATGATAGTGTTTAACATTGACCAAACAATCTTATTTACATTGTATGAATGTTTTCCTTAAACTGGTGAAAATACTTAATTTCAAACTAGTGGTAAGAATACCTAAAATATCCACAAGGTTTTCATTCCGGATAATAGAAACTTTCCATCACTATATGGATAGTAATATCCTGTTAAAATGAGTACAGGGGATTTTTCGACATTGTTCAGTTTGTATTATACGTCAGTGGTCAACTTTTGTTACACAACTACCAAAAACCATGAGGCTCTGGACACCCATTCCAAGCTGGCCCACAAGGATGAAACTTGGGACCTTCGGGCATCGCGCGAACCAGGTAATTCGCGGATCGTACGGGACGCCATGTAGTTTTGTTTAACTTTTTTAGCATTAGTTCGTTCGCTATATTACGCAACCGTTATCAATTGGAATTAGCGATACCTGACTAGTTCCCCAACATGGTTGAAACTTGGTGATTATGGCATCTCACTAGAGCTCCAAATTTAAAGAAATAACCTAATGGATGAATAAAACTTATTAAGAGGTCTAAATTGTATTCTGAAAATAATTTGTTAGAACGTATTATAAAATAGCACATTCTTTGTGACAATAAAACACAATATTATATCAGATATACCTTGCGAATCACGAAGCCTACTAATAACAGACAGCATCTTTGTCAATAAGCACCCACTTATGTTCCCTGACATACTGTCAGTTACATAGAATTCAAGATATTGTTTTATTTATGTCTGACATGAATGGTTATATTGTAAAATGTAAAACGTTGAAAATGTTTTCGTTATACATGAATTTACCTCAACTGATAGCTTGATCAATCGTATAATAGTATTTGTCGAAAGTTCTCCAAACAGGATATATAATTGTCCCAAAGTCCCCATTCGGATACTACGATTATTATCGGTACAACAATTCCAAATAAGGTCCTAGATTCCATTAGAGTAGTCAACAGAAACAAAGTTAGTGAAAAGTCGAATATTTCTAGTTAGTACAGAAGTAGTGATACATTTCGTTTTCGTCTGAACACCATCCTGACGTCAAACTATTATATACGTACTAGGATTAAATCATATTTATCTATGAGCGTCTTTTCCAACTGTTTTCTTGTCTTTTCACATTTTGTATAGCATTTATTAAATAGGATATATAAACAATAATCATTACTTTACACGAACTCAAGTTGTCCTATAGTTACAAAAGCCTAAATAGTGTTAAGTAATCAAGCTGAAATAGATAACAATTTTTTCGGTTAGACATTCACAAAATAGACAAAAGCTGTGTGAAACAAATGATCTAGTCAAATATTCCTTTTACCAATTACACATTTAACAAGTGGTAGTTTTTGTTATAATAAGTAATAGCTACCACTGTTCAGCTGTAACACTATTAACTGGCTTTAAATCTGAAGACTTTCTTTTTACTTTACGGCGTTAAATGCTATCCAAATAAATCTCGTTTCAAAAGAAAACTCTGATAGTCTTTAGATTTCTTTCAAAATCTGTTTCAGGTACTGGGAGTCATAAACCCAATTCAGTTCACTTAGTTATGTAAGTAGAACTGAATTATCATCTGAGCTGAAACGGTTTCGTAGCTCATAGTAGCACCAAAATTGAACAAACTCTTCGAGGATTAACGCTGAAAACTAGTAAACGGACTACGCTGTAATACACAAAATAAATAGATTAATTGAATATAAACATTCTAGTTATAGCCTCATAACACTCACTATGTGAATGAAGTTGATATATTATAGTTGGTTCGTGTAACCTGACTGTATGCCACCCATAACTTTGTAATTACTGAACAGTGTTTTATAAGTAAATGTCAACATTATTAGTGATTAAAGTCGTGATAACAAATATTTCTTTATTACCACTAAACTTTTCGGCCTAACTGATGTTTATGATAACCAATCACAAATGAGGATTTCGTGTGAACGAATATTATCCTGGAATCACGTCATAGAGAATATGTGATCGAAAATAGCAATTTCTGAGAGCATTCAAATATGTTGTTGATAGAGATTGTTTATTATTTGAAACTATTAAATATAAAAACACTAGAATACTAATGCAGCTACGTGAGAAAATCTACTAACCCATTTAACCACGTGTAGTACAACACATTGCCATCTGGAATGTGTGATAGATTCGTAGTTTGAACCTTAATAAAATAACAAGAAAAACATCTTAATGTGCACAGCAAAATCATTTCTACACATGATTGGTCTTAGAGTAAATTGATATCCCTTTGCTATTCCCTTCAGACATCTTGCTATTTCAAAAATAGTATTAATGGGCAAATTCACACAAATTTCTTACCTGTCAGTTTAAATTATGATGATCATGAGTAGATTACAGCTACTGAATTTTAATAGTTAGAATATGTCAAGACTGTGGTCCACAATATTTTAAAACTATTTGTAAATTGTCCTGAATAATAACTTAAACTAGACAAAGGACTGTTAATTTTATTAATGATAAATAATCTTGACTATCCACTTAGCATTACCACCATCCACTAAACATTGGAGATAGATAAAAATTGGTCATTAGTTTTTCTAAGTAAATATACCCAAGGTTAGTTAGTGTGACAAAAATTAATTAGAATGAAAAACGAATCAAAGTCAGGGAATTTAGTGGAGAACAACGCTGAAAATGTTCACAAAATACGATGACCACATGAATTTATTTTCAATCAATACGTATAGTGTCCTACTTTTTTATTAAGTTTGTCATTTGATACCTACTTTTACCGTCATAAACATGCTTTCTGGAGTTGAATCTTCTGGTAGAAATGGCTGTGTTGTAGAAATTTTCTGAGTGAATCTAGGACTTGTAGTCGCCTTCACACCTCCCCCATCCGTTTGTAATCCAAACGTCAACCAATCGATAGCATGTAACGCTATTTGCTTTCGAGTATGGTGCATTCCACGAGCTGTTATACAATGGGTATTAAATTAATAATAATGATTAAGGATAATGATAATTCTAGTGTTGAAAGTCATTTTTTTTAAAAATTGTTTCGCTTCTGCTGATTTGAGTGTCAAGAGAAATAACAGTTATAAAAACATCAATCAATATTAAAACATTAGGTTAAAAGTAAGTAAGTATGATATAGATGCATTTCCAAAAAGCATAAACTTATTTTAGCACGTTTATTGGGATGAAACGTGAGATCATTTCTTCTGCTGACCCAATGCTCCCGAAAAATGTAGTTTTTGCCGTCGTTATTATTACATCAAATAACTCACATTTTCTTAAAGAAACATAGGAGTAAATTATTAATAAACTGATTGCATACCGTGTTTTAGTAACTCTAAGATTCTTCGCACAGTGATTTTATTCCAGGTATGAAATATTCACTGGCTCTAGTAGTACCTTGACATGTGTGACATACATACAGAAGTCGCACAAGTTGTTGATATACTCATTGACTAATTTCATTGTGACTTCAAATCGTATTCCCTATTTCAGTAGTGTAAATGATATAACTGGACCATACATCTGCATATTAAAATGTTCTCCCAAAATACTGAACAGGTAACCACAACATTTACATATCCTCTACTTTGAACTTAGGCGTGACTTTAAAAAATTAGAAACGGGACATCTGTATAGAAGGTTTCCTCATCGATGACCATCAATTTTTTGCTCCAGCATTACCCACTGTATTCATAATCAGCTTCAGTTGATCACTTGTCCGCAAAGTGTAACTCAACTAATCAGATTAGTTATTTATTCTTCTTTATAATACCAAACAGATTTTTAATTTAATAATTGAATTCATAAGTCAATTAGAACTAAACCACCATGGAAAATCTGGAAGAATTAGACGGCTGTTTCATCCTAGTATGAGACTCCTCATCCCGCTCGCGGGATTCGAATCCAGGACCACTCGGTATCGCGCGCGAGACTCAAGACAGTCACAATACACTACATATTATTTAATGGAATTAACATTTTCAACAAAAATGTAAATTAAGATATTGTTTGGTGATATTTTTTATATCTTATAACTTATTCATTTGAAATCACAGCCACTTATAATACCAGAACGACATAATAAACATCTAGATGCTACATATCTGTTTTGCAGTTGAAGTAAGGAACCATGAAAAATATCGAAGCTGTTTTGATTGGTTATTAAACAATAGATGAATTTTTTCAATTTTGTTAAGAACGTAGTTTTACATCGGTGTTGATGTGCTTCTAATGATAGCAACTTGAAAAACTAAATTTGACGTCACACATCACTTTCAGTTACATCCCATCAGATGGTAAAGGTTTCATGTCAATATTATACATGCATGTATGAAAGTAAATACCAAATCAAAAATAACACAAGTTCAGTCCAAAACTTCTGATTTTTCTTCAAAAACGGACTAAACGTTTGAAAGCTTTTCAGTTAGAAGTGTACTGTTAAGTATATCTTACTACGAAATAAAATAAAATTCTGATCATTAGCTGGTCATCAGCATGAAGCACTAACTTTTTGATAAAAAAATAAAGTCGCTTTAGCAGCCACAAAATAAACAATCTACTTACAGGCTGCTTTATAATCAAGAAGAGGATGTTTGAAAAGTTGTACGACAAAAACCAAAAATTGATCTACAAAAACTCACCTAAATTCATAGAACTGATGAGCATTTTTAAACCAGCCAGAGAAAGGGGAAGACTTCTTATCCTAAAAGATATATTTATTGTTGTTTGTGAATAGTTCCGTAATTTTGAAACTTGAGGAAAACACAAAATTATTACAAGTATACAATTTAATGAAATCAATGTTATAACAAACAAAATTGCAACTTGTCTCTAATTATTATGTTGAAACGAATTTCAATGTCCGAAAAACTATCACTTCAAGTTTGTATGCTTTCAGTTAAATCCTTTAGATTCTTGTTTACCATGGTTAGTGGTTTCTTATCGATTGAAAATATTATTTCCTCTGAGCTGTAGCTTTCATTGTCTTCATAGACATTATCAGAACATACGTCAGAGAATAAATAAATCAGTTTTCTATATTCTGCAGATAAGTGCCTTACACTAACTCACGGAACGTCGGAGATCTTATTTTTTACTCATTCAGAGATTGTAAACATATCCTTATTTTCACTAGTAACAATATATCGATTGACCAGTTTATTAGAAATTACCAAGTCAAATCTCCGTAGTGATGTCTACCAACCAATGAAGGTTAATTAGAGATACTTAAAGTGTTAACTTTCACTGCTTCTGGTAGAATCACAAACTTTCACTCACTCTACTCATATTAAAGCTGAAATCATCAGATATTTTAAAGCGTTTACAAGATTCAAGTGAATACATAATCCCTATATAGGATATATAGGAGAAAAACGTAGAAAGGACAGTATTTAAATTATAACAGCATCTTTTTCTGTTAGTTACAAAAGATGTCTAGTCAAAACACTCTCTAATAGAATAAGAATGTTGCGTTCAGACTATAAAATAAGTGGGAAATTGGTCATTCTACGACAGAACCTCAAAAAGTGAATAATGGGAAAAAATTATTGCTAAACACGAGAAAAATAGCTCTCTTTATAAAGATATTCTCATTGGTCTTCCGTTCGAGAGAGATTAGATTTCAAGTGAAATTGGTAGGAGAATCAAGGTAGCGTCAAAAAGAAGCTTTCCTAATGTTCAAATGATCTCCCTATAAGACGCCAAGCGTTCGTTATACAATTAAAAGATAGATCAATACTCTTTGGACGTCACCTCCAATCGCATTCAGAAATTTACATACACATGCGGCAGCGTGTATACAGGGAAAACAAATAGAAGGGTTTCTACCAGATATTCTGAACATGTTTCTAAAGATATATGTCTGAAAGGGAGTAGCCTTCCCAGGCGCAATTCCCAGGCATCTTTTGGATAGTAGAGTTAGAATGAATATAAGTCTTGAGCTAAAAATAATTAGCAGACAACCAATACTGGTTTTACTTCGTTCTGCAGAAACAGTTGCTAACTACCTTTTTTGATCTGACCGATGTATACTGAAGCAAATTGTGACTATCGTTTATGTGATATAGTGGCTAAGTATTTGAAAAATAACCTTTATTAACTTTTTTCAATCCCCTCTTATTTTGTCTTCTAACATTTACCTCTTAAATAATCTTATTGTTCATATATACTTGATCTTATTCCTCATCATTGTGAGAGGTTACGCGATGAATTATTAATTTCATTACCTTAACATAATCTCTTTTGTCTTGGTTATGGTTACTTGTAACTATAACACCCATTTCAAAATATAAATGCACATTGATCTTAACTATGCTTATTCATATATTTTGTAACCTATTCCTCTTCTTACTAGTATGATTTCGGTTACGTTTCGAACACTTAACTAGACTTAACAAAGTATGTGAAGCATTTTTTTAATAATTATATTACCAACTGTGATTTTAGTCTGTAAGCAGCTGATGAGAAACTGTGAAGTAAAATGAATTCGTTTTATTTTGCAAACCATGTTGCACTTGCTCCGTTTAGTTTTACAAAGGGAGCTGGTTGTATGAAGTTATGAGATCAGACTCGTTTTCTTTTTTTCATGAAACAATTTCAAGAATATAGATAACGTGGTCAGTCAATAAGCCAAATAATAAACTTCATGCAGCAATGTAATCGAATCCTCTGTAAGACTCGGTAAATACAGTACAGAATGAATATTTGTATACTGTATTATTTGGAGTGGTTAAAACATTGCGCCCCATGTCTAAATCATCAACAGTATATATGGAATACGTTACTGATTGAAGTTATGGTATACTTTTAGAACATGTCATATCTTGTTAACAATTCGTGTAGTCTAGCATTATATAATCCTTACTAAATTTGAACGTCTATGGCACAATTTATCAAATAAATGGCAGCAAAATCAACTAAGTATTATTGGATGTTAATGTCTCATTGTAAACTTCAGAACAAACAGTTGGTCGTTTCCTTTTGTGAATTTTAAATATCAAAACATCAAATGCTATTCTCACTAACTTTAGCTCGGGATTGAATGACGCTGTTACAACATTACAATAAGACAAAATGATTATGAAAACATTCAACAAAACAACAAGCTTACTACATAAGGAATCAAAAATTGATAGGATGAAGTTCTACAATATAGAATTTTCCCGAGTATTTTTAACCCTTTAAACAACACTTAAGTGTATGTTATTAAACAAGCGCTTATGAGAGCAAACTAGCAGTGAGAACTATTTAGACGTGATTTATGTTACTCTTTCAATTCATTTGCTAGCAAGCATTTTGGCCCAAGACTAGCATTAAAAATCCCAAGCGAATAGTGGATATAACACTCTTATGAAATTCCGACATCATCTAACTGTACCTATGTGATGTCACTAAAATATGTAAGGAGTCGAAAGTGCGTCATTATGATACTGTGAACAAAACACTTCAGTTTATTAAGATGTAACTCTAGTGGTTTATGTCTAAACTAAATCCAATTTACAACCTCACTTTAGTTTACTTAGATACATAGCTTTTTGTGCAACAATGCTAATCATAAATAGTGCAACATAGTAAATACACTGAGTAAACCGCGTTCAGGAAGTAATATATAAAACATTCAATTTTGACTCTATCTGTCGTTTCAAAAGCAATATGTTCGTGTTGTTTTAATGAGATTTAAAGTCCATTTTCAAAATAAAACTTACAAATAAATTAGCTCCGTGGTGATTTGGATGACTTTATCTTTCATTCTCAGCTCTTCATCTTTTGATACGTTTCTATACCTATGTCCCGTTGATGGTACCAGCATCTGGGATCGCACATCATTTAAATCAATGTCGCTCCATCCGTAGCAACGAGCAAATAAATAGAATACCAACCTAATCAAAATAAATTAAATTATTGTGTTCATGTGAAGAATAATCCGATTGAGACTACGAAAACACTAATGAAACTAAATTTTCTTTAGAAAAATATCAATAAGGAATCACCCAGATTATTCAGTAAAAATTCTTTTATTAAAGCTTGTTGCACTTCATGACTAATATAACGCAGCCTTTAAATGGACAATCCTCAGCTAAACTAATCTTTAACATCAACCGAATATATAGGATATATGTGACAATAGTTTGTACTTTTTTAGAACGCAAGTGCCATAAAAATTTTATCCATTTCTAGCTTTATAATTCACTTAAGAATTAAAACCAATTAAATACTTAGATTTCCGTAGTTCACTCCTGTGTTTTCCCTCTCATGGATAGTGGATAGTGTATTTAAGGCAACACAATCCAAATATTTCCATTCATTGAATAATGATGGCATAAACGGTTAAACTAATTTTCGAGAGTTGTTCAAATGAATGCTAAAATGGAAGTTCAATACATTCATATAGCTATCTATACATTACAAAATATCCTACTAAGTTATGTAAATAGGATTTGATATATTAGTATGAACTCAAACTATTGGAAACAAAAGGCCCTTTCAGCTGAATACAAATACATAAAAGGTATCGAAAACTGTTACTGGTTATGGGTTCAGAGTTTTGGTTAGTCAGTTTAATGATTTTAATGTCATATTTACATTTTATTACTGTAAATTCCACCTGCTTCAATCACCCTGACCGTGAACAGGTGTTGGTGCACTAATAAGTGTAACGAAAATTGGTTTGCGAAAACTCATGTAGTTCAACAAATAAAATGTTTTATATTATCATAAGAAATGTATCTATCCAAACTTGTTCAAGAAAAGTATCCTTTATGCTTTCAAAAGGGTTATAGCGAGTGAACTAGAAGTCTCCTAAAGGAATATCTGATCAATACTGGTTATTCTATGGCGACTCACTTAGCGTTCCAAGTAACCCATAAGGTAGATGAATAATTGTAAAGTATAGTGTCTCCCTGGTTTTTTTTTACTATTCAAACCCTTTACTCTCAAAATAGGCTTACCAAACCTTTTTTTCTCGTCTTAATTCTCAGCCTTGCAATTTATCCTACCATCACTTTACTAGGCTTTTTTTTAAGGTGGTTAGCTTTTTTTCCAAACTCACACCGATTAAATTTCTTTTTTGTTCGTTTTATTCTGTTAAGTAACTTATTTCCAGTTTTTCTTAAGTGCTTGAATAATGTTTCAAGATTGATAGCTATTATTTGTGTTTTTGATTGAGATCATGAATCGATCGATATCAGACTACAATTGTAAACCTGGAAACACAGGACTAGACACGCATGATATTGATCACCACCCAGTGATTAATCAATTGTGACGGCTGTTTTGTCTTATTATGGTACTCCTCAGCAGTGCGCATCCACGATCCCGCTCGCAGGATTTTAACCCAGGACCTTCGGTTATCTTCATCAAACAAAATGAACTGTACTCTCGTTCTTTTGGTATTGGTTACTACATATAATAATGATAATAATAATAATAAATCCCATATTATCATTAAGACAGTAGAGTAGCAACTTAGCGGCTTCCCAAATAGAAACAAGAAGTATAAATCCTCAGATGATTAAAATAACACATTGTGTCATTGGGTAAAAGTAAAGAAAATTCAACGAAGAAATTTTTCTTTCCGATGAAATCACTTATTTAAGCTGTACATTCGTATTTATAGTTGTGTAGTAAATATATGTTTATAAAAGGATAGAACAGATTGTATCACAAAGAGATTCGAAACTTTAAGTATCAACTGAGATTGTGAAATAATCAAGGAGCTAAATAAGTAAAAGAATATAAGGATGAAAATAATTTATGGGTCAGAATAATGGGAGATAATCGCCCACTTGACAGATGCGAAGGGAAACAAAAAACATAAAGGTCATAATAATAACTAATTGATGATCATAAACGATTTTGAAGGATTATAATAACTGATTACGGTTTAAAATTACAAAACACTAATAAAAAGAGTAAAAAACCGCCAAAACATACTACAGAAGGGAATTAAGGCTGAAGAAAGATGAGAGTTTGGATGTATCGTTTTTACACGCAGGGTTCGGGCTTGAGTTGGTTGATTGTCAATGCCTCAGCAGTGCATAGGTATGTGATTCAACCTCCCTTCAACCCAGTTCCTTTGATTGTGTACACTATTCCAGAGTTGATTAGGTGCTCCTGTATTGAACTAGTGTATCGTTTGCATTCTTTTTCTAAACGACACGCCGAGTAATGTTCTGAGATGCGTTTGGAAAGTGATCGCTTTGTGCGGCCAATGTGACCTGATGCACCGAAGATGCAAAACGATGCGGCTCAAAGCGGAATGGCAGTCCGGCTTCAGAATAAAACACGGAACTCAGTTGAATAGAATGTTTTGTTCAAGAATTTTGAAATCCATTTATTCAAGAGTTCAGCAGCCGTATCTCCTTTAAATTCAATATTCCTAAAAATAGTTTTCTTTTAAACTGCTGGTGCTTTTTCAGGATGTTGACTTGGCGTTAAGTTCCTATCGACAAATCTCGAAGATAAAGAGTGAATTAATTCACTTTCTCCACTCGATGGGATCCGGCTGCAGAAACTCGTGTACTGACCATTTTAGGTGGGTTTTTTATATATAGATCTGTAAAGAACTGTCTGATCATTTCAATATGAAATCAAGAAAATGAAATTCCTCGTTTGCCTCTTCTTCCAACGTGAATAGAATTAAGTGATGACAATTGTTGAATAGATTTGAAATTTCATTGACGTTCATATCTACTTCACAAATAATGAAAGTATTATCAATATACCGCTTATATAAATGAAATCTAAGTATTGGTCGAAGTGATGTATTTTCCAGATTGGCCATGAAACAATCAGTCAAGAGGGGACCTAGTGGTGAACGCATTGCAACTTCATCAGTTTGTCTACAAAAATCATTATTAATTCTGAATCGCACATTGAGAGTACATCATAGAAGCAGCCCTTTTAGATGAAGTTTTGGGATACAAATATCAAAACAGTTATGTTCGATATAGTCACATGAATAACATAGCTTCTATGAATGGAACATTTGTAAAGGCGGAAGTGACATCTAATAAAACTTTTTTTATCATTTACGTCGATATTTCTAATTGAGTCAACAAAATCAAATGAATCAAGAGAGTTGTATTTGTAGGTTTGATTTCTGATGGGTTGTAAAATTTTAGCCAACCATTTAGTAACCAAATGATACGGAGAGTTATTCATGTCAATTAAAAGAAGTAAGATGACATTTTTCCAATGAACTTTTGGTAGTCAATATGGTCTTGATATAGAGGAATTCGATAGTCTTAGATGTTTGTGGAGGTCACAACTGATAATAAACTCTTATTTCATCTTCCTTGGGATTTTAGTTAGCAGTTGTTCAATTTCCTTAGTTGCATCTTTTCAATTGGCTTCTTTAGAGAATGTAACAGCATCAGATAACATCGAGGATAGTTTGATAATATAGTTATGAAGATCCACAAGGACAGTTCCTGCACTCTTATCTGGGTGACACAGTACTAAATTCTGATTTATTAGAAGATAAAATAACTGAAATGTATGTTATTTTATAAGCTATCGTCTAGTTGTGAATATTTCGTTTACATATTGATTACAACAGTCAATAAGTTGTTTGAAATGCTCATAATCTTTATTAGATACAGGGATAAGGTCATTTATCTGGCAAAAGAAGCTTTCAAACTGGATCTTAGCATGGAATTCATTAATGTTAGCTGACGTACTACAAAATTTAGAACCAAGTGATAGTGCTTGTAGTTGGATAGTTGATACTGTTATACTAAAATGCTTGAATATAGATTTTTCTGGTGATTTCTGAAAAGAATCATGGATCTCCACCGGTTTTAAACTTTTCATTGATTTCAAGTCCACGTTTTCAATACGATTTCTAACAACCGTATCAATGCAATCGTTTCTGTCCTTCTACAGATGAATGTGCAGCTTAAATAAATAATTTTGCAGAAAATAAAATTTTAGTTGTTGGACTAAGGAGTAAATCTCTTTGCTGAATTTTATTTTTGGCTATAAATCCATGTCCTTTGAGTACAATTGAAAATTTCGCTGATATTTTCTGAATACGAAATCACAGTGCAGAACAAAAACGTATTAATAATAAAAGCTCAGAAAGAGATAAAAACTAACAAAAGCAAGTGATTTAAGCTATAGAATGAACAAACTGGTTTTTTACTACAAATTATTAGCATCTGACAAGTAATCTATCACCTTTTTATTTACATTTTGCTCATTCAATAAGAACTGAATTTTTCAAGTTTACTGCAAATTATTCGCTGATCGGATGAAGTGCAGCAAATCGATTAGTATTGCAACAATGAGAAAGGTAAATGTGATTTTCTTTACGCAGTTACTAGATAACTAAACAGGATCAAGCAAAACGGGATTTCAGATACACAAGACAGCTGGATACGGTTTACTACTGCTTTCTTTACTTCAAACCGCGAAAAATAATTTAAAGATAGAATAAAATGTATCGTTTATCTTCGTTATATAGTTTATGACAAATTAAATCCACTAAAAGGCAAACATTCCGAAGTCTCGTTCAAATACTAATTTTTTATGATTTGAAGTCAAACTTATAATAACTTTTGTTATTAATATTAGGCAGCTAGACTGGAAAATATCTTGTAGTTTTTATGATGAATGTACAGTCAGGAGAAAAATTAGTATTAGGCTAAATTCAGAGCGTACTTTATGATCATTCATCACTCCAATGCTTACTCAGATTTCCCAGGATAATACATGCAACTACCGTTCCTCTTTTATGATAATAAAATTTTAAAACAACAAGAAACACACCAGTTGTGCTAGGCTCTTTTAAAGTATTATTTGATGATTTGTAGGTAAAAAGATGACGGTTTATAAGAAAATGTGATATGTAAGAGAACGTTTGGAACATTATAACCAGTTTTAAATAACGTAAAACAGGAAACACATGTGTACCTGACCAAACTGCGATACTTTATAAAAAGAACATGGGGACATTGGGGAACGATGCTTGCCGAAACGTTCCTAGTCACAATATTTGAGTTAGTTGTAGTAAGCATAGCTCAAGAAAACCAAGTGAAACAGTTTATTCAGAGATTGGGACAAATATTAAACTTGGGAGGGGAATGAAGGACAAATAAACAGGTCTATGTTATTAACCAGATTTCACACTATGCCATTTCTTATATCTTACTTTGCAAACCTTAATGAGGAGGTCTGCACTTCATACATCAACTTTGATAAACACACTTTATCCCCTATGAACAATCTCCTGCCCATCTTCTTAGTCAACTAAGCTACATATTCCAACTGATCAATTTGTCATTCCCAATTATTATTTCAAGTCTAAACTCAACACTACAAGCTTTGTGGTTCCACTATACATGAGCAGTAATTTGATCATCACTATTAATAAATTTCAATAAAACGTTGTAAGCTGTTGTTTACGTTGTCTACTAAATAAATAAGAGATCCTGTCGACTTTCAGAAACTAACATGGTAGGACATCCTTTTAGTCATATACTACAATGTTCTTCTGGATATAAGATATTAAATAAATAAATTGTATTTTCCTAATGAGATTTAACCACAACTTTCAATACAATAAGGTAAAACCAGCTTTATGGTAAATCTGTAAATACAAATGTCTGTTTATATTTCTATTGTCTGAAACACCTTTTTCAATTTTGCATACTATCTGGGACACTAACTCAGTACTCAAAATATTTCGCTGTAAGTACTTTTAGCCATCTTAGTGTGCATCTCTTACTACAACTGATAAATATGTATACTAATTTTAGGTCGGCACTAGAAAATTTAGAGAAATCCGTACATAAATGTTTAAAAAGATATTTCCCAACTCTTGTTAAAACAGCGGCAGGTAAGTAGGTTTCATCTCAACTAAATGTAAAGTGAAGAATAAAAGGTATACACTACGCCTAAGGATTGTTCGTGGCTCAAAACCAATACTTCAGTCTTCAGTCTTCAGTGCGAATAAAATCATTTTAACTTGGTGTATAGTTAAAGAACCTCAGGGAATAGCCCATGTTATGAGGCTGGCAACAAAAACTATTCTATCCAGTCATAAAATTCTAGTTGTGAACTAGATATGCATAAACGTCTTTTTATTTATCCCCGAAAAGGTGGATATTTTGTTACTTTAAGGTTGATCTGGATACAGTCGTCAAAACAATTTCGACTTCTAGACAGTGTGAAGTGTTCAGCAAAATTCTGATTTCGTTTGATAGGTTCATGCACTAAAATGCTTTCACGAAAATCACCTTCGAAGACTGAAGTAATTAAGAGACTAAAATACTTACGCATATGCTAAGTGAAGAGAATTTTTCGCTAAGAGAAAGTTTTAGCCGAATATTCGCCAAGTAGATAGTAGATTATATATATATATATATATATATATATATATATATATATATATATATGAGTGGTGCGTTTCACTTAGATTACATTGAAAGCTCAAAAAATGATGTGATTACAATCTGCAAATAGAGTTAAGAAGAAGAAAGTACATAATTCGAAAGAATAACTACAGGGCAGAACATTTATGCAAAAACTTTTACTTGGTAAGAGAGTGGTCGTGAGTAAACCTGTGAAAGGAGCAAAAGATTAAGAGCACTTACCAGTCCAACTCTTCGTTTACTGTCCAAATGCCTCCACAATCCCTGCATATACGACTTAAAATCCTGAAGAATGTTTTCATGCCGCTTGTTTCAGGCATATTACTATTTAAATTACTGATTTCCATAATATTGTAAGATGTAGCGTGTGTGAGCAATAGTGAGAGAAACTCGAGTTCTTTCGTCACATTACTTATATGTTGGCATTCAATCGCTAACTGAGAAACACCTGGATCCATCGAAATCTAGAATGTAAGAGTGATAACGCCTTATGATTATTGAAACTTACGCCTAAAATAACATATTTCCAATATTTCACTGACAATCAATTTTTCTTGTGTTCCAACATGTTGATATTAAGCTAAAGTTATATGTCTTTTGAAGCCATTAAAAAGATCTACTAACTAAAATCTTGCAGGGTCTAGACTTTCGAGTCATCACTACTTCACTAAAGGAAAGTGATCTGGACCGATAAATAATTAATTAAGTCTTTAAGTCTTCTCAATTGATCTTGACCTTATTAGATTTACAAGATATAATCAACTTCGAAACACTCTGACGGACATCAGAATCAGAGCCCTCGCAACAACCACCTGACTAAGATAAACATTTCTCAACAAACTGGCCATCTTTAAACTTGTTTCCAGTACCCACTATATTTTCAACGAGCTTGCATTTATCGAACAGTGTCTTTTCCCCCCTATTGTGAAGTTTCCGTGGGGTTTAAGGCCCACGATTCTGTTCAGTGTGGGTTGTCTAGCTACTCGGCTGTGCTAATACTAGTAGATTTGATAGTTGATCAATGGTTTTTATTTTCTCATTTACTAGTGCGTTTATCTTATAGCAGTGGAGTTGCTGGGATCAGCAGCGATTACGCTACCGGGGAAGAAAATGGTTTGTTCCAACACGAAAACTATAAAAGTCGAATAAAGAGCGTCGAAGAGAAGGTAATAATCAGAATGAATCTGAGAGTGTTTACGCAAACAATATGAAAACGAACGCAATAGAGAATAGATAAGCGGGTTGACAAAGGGTGATGTGAGTCTCGCACGTTGCTGAAAACTAGGAAGAATAGTCGCAGTTGGAGAATTCAATCTTCAGAGAGTCTGTCCGTTGATCCTACGACATAACTTTTCACTTGCCTCCATGCTTATTCTAAGTAATTCCTATTTTATGTGTGGACAGCGACTGCAACAATGTTGTGGGTTTGCAGATATATGTGGATATTGGTCTTCATTAGGGTTTAGAAAGTGCTGATGAATCAATATACCTGACTACCTCCTTACAAAATGAACCACAGCCTAAGCTTTGACTGAATCTCCTCGACAGTCACCGCTAATGTTCAGGTTCTCTGTCGGAGACGAAAGTAGACCATGCTCCGTAGAGTTTCTGAACAGGCGGTCACCACACACGAGGCTGTCAACCTGAGCCATTTCTGTCGCACAGAATAACACTTTTAGACGTTTTGAAGATTACATTTCAAATTATTCTTTTTTGTTCGCTTGTGTAGTCGTTTTAGTTCTCTCGTGAATAGAACTTACAAATGACTGATCTATATAGTCTAACATTGTTCATGCAAGAAATACTAGAGAGTCGAGGTTCGCTTAAAGATCAGTGGTGAATATTGAAGACTGGAAAGCATAGTATAAAGCATGAACAAAACCCAGACACATATACCTTCCAGTTTGGTTTCACACAGTTCTACCCTACAGACAGTTCCACAGGCAAAAAAAGGGAACCTTTGTGAATCCAAATAGCCAGATTTTCACGAATAGAACAGAGCATGGAACAGTTTTTAACTCCGTGATAAGGTCCCAAAAATAATTCATGCTCAGTCAACTTGTAATCTTAGCACTAATACCAACTGTCTCACGAGGGCATATCATTCGAGATACATAAAATACCCTTCCTGGCGCTGTATCATGCTTTATGGAGGTTGATTAGCTACCTGACTGGATTATCCACTCAACTATATCACTGTTTGAGGTAACGGAAACAACATTGCAGACATAAAACAGCTTAATTTCCATATTACTGTTGAGAATTTTTGAGTGGATTACCGACTTCTCGCTACTTCAGTAACGGTTTAGGCTCTATGAAGTGTAGTAAAATGCAACATGTTAAGTGGAGAGACGCTTCAGGATTTTCTCCCAACACGATGATGTTTATGTCATTGCAACCTGACGATTTGTGTTACCGAAGTTCCAATAACATCCGTAACACTTGGCTCAGTATTAGCTGTATAGTGCTCCCCAATAATGTCTTCGTCGAACTATTCGTTTGACCTTCATGGCTTTGTACATCATTTAGTTGTTTACCAAATTTTATTCTGAGAAGCTTGGCGCTTTAGTGTTAGTAAGAATCTCAGCTTGATTTGTATAATGCCTAAAATCTTTCCCTTTGAAACATTCTTCCAAACCTGTATTTCTTATGGTCCCCATGATGCTCCAATATTGATCAGTTGATAATCCTACACAGTTCTGAGGCCGGAAAAGCATTGCGAAGGGAAGTTTTAAAAACTGTGGTAGAACTATGGATTGGTCTTGTTCCATATCAACAGTCAGCTGAGAACCACGATGACTTTGTTTGCGGCGTGATTAATGTAGTATATGGGGGAGAAGACAAAAACGTTTGCAACTGGTAGTCAGTCAATCAAGAACGGAAAGTCTAGTCTGAGTAGTCTATCAACCTGATCAGTCATTTAATGTCCTCTATGTGTTCAATGAGTCCCGTGGTACGGTTAGTATACATTATTTGCTTGTTAAACCAACCGCATGATTTTAGATCATCCTGCATGTGACTTCGAGATGAAGTAATATTGATAGCGCTTGAAGGATCTGTTATTTTTTGACGACTGCTTGTTTTGGGCCATGATATAGTGTTTCAATCAGATACTTGGTGCCGTTAGACCTGAATCATCATTAATTAGACTCCTTTGAGTTAACTCTATCAAAATTATTTGAAATTATACCCCTGGAGTGACTTCTGGCGTATATCACTATTCCACCTCCTTTATTGCTTTCACTGCCACACATTAATAAAGTCATTCCTTGCACGCTCTGTTCATCATCCTTGATAAGTAGGGAGAGCCCGGTTTCAGATAGAATTATGATCATCATTTCAAACCGGAAGCATATGTTACTAAGCTCTCCTATTTTACTTTAGTAGCTTTACATTGATATAAAGTTAAATACTTATTTTTATATCATTTATCCATATTTCTTTATAGCACCATCTGTTTGAAGGGTCGTAAACAGATTTTAGCACGGAGCAGTTTGGCTAATTTCTTGATAATTAACCGATTAGAGGCTTTGCTCGTGAGATGGGCTCGCTCAGTGCGACAAAGCCCTCGGCGCCTTGTATCACAAAAACCAATTAATGAAGGCCAACTTGCCTTGTTCAACCGATCTATGTCAGCTTTCACATCACCGAAAGGGACACTGTGATAAATGCCTTGTGTTTTACCACTTCTGAAGGACGCCTGTTATGTTATTCCTTGAAACTCATGGCTATCATGTAAGAAAATCTTATGTCTGGGAGATTTTGTGGTCGCTAAAATCGCGTTCCATTAATCGCCACGGTTATTTTTAAGCAGCTCAATAACGTCTGCTTCTACCGTATGCCGGCTGCATGTTCTTCATCTGAACTACAAGCGCCAAAACGGTTCAAATGGTTTTGGACGGGATGGAAGAAGCTTTGGCTCATCGAGCTTCCGTGTCTGGAAGCAGTGCATCACCAATACCTTCGGGCAGGAACCTAGGTATAATATCGATAAAGGAGAAAAAAGAATCCGGGTCCCTCAATAACAAACATGCTGGTTAGTTACTCAGTGATTTGCGGAAACTTCCTTTAGTCTATTATTTCGATCATGATCTGTCATGAACCAAATTAATATGCCGGGACCATTTGATAGATGATTGCTACAACACAGAAGAGTTCCACATCGCGATATCTGGAGAGCACCAGGTGACTGTATGTGGAAGGAGTCATCTTAAGAGTTAATCTTACTCTTTGCAAGCTGGTCAGTTTGGATTTGGTGGTACTTATATCAAAAAGGTTCCATCATTCGCAGTTGGGCTATTTATTGTGTGTTACTGCTTTACTTCAAACTAATTGCCAACATCGAAGATTAATGACTCATATACTTATGCCTGTTACACCTCATGGAGGAGCATAGGCCGCACACTAGCATGCCCCACCCAACTCTATCCTGAACAGTCTTGCCAGCTGTTCCCAGTTGCTTTCAATTCACTTCATGTCTCCTTCCAACTCACGACGCGGTGTATCCTTAACTTCTCCATTTTTCCGCTTCCCTTAACAATTGCAAGTTAGTTCTTACTATGTGATACACTTTGACAATTTTCGCGATGTAAATTCCACCAAGTCATCTTTAATGGAACACGAACGATAGTTGCGGTTACTTCAGTGTCTGACTTCAGTGTTTCAGCTGCTATATTGTCAGGTGCTGCTGCTTTCGCACTGTCGATTAGTCTGATGACCATCCTAATTTTCTTGATCGTTGGTGGAGTGGAAGCTATAGGAAAGACTGTGTGCGCTACTGCGATGTCTGTTGTATTTAATGGAGCTGGTCTATTTAAGAGATGCTCGAGGTGCATCACCCATCTGTTCCTACGTTCTGGCATTTCGGTAATTGCGTTAATTTATTTGTACTTGACCAGCCTCTAAGGTTTACTATATTTTCTCGAAAGTCTCTTCATATAACCACATAGTTGCTTCATATTTTCCTTTCTTGCAGCTTTTCCACAATCGTTGTTGAGTAATCCATCAATTTATGTTTCTTGGCTCAAATCCTCTTCTTCACTAACTTGTTTGCTTCTAAATATTCAGATTGAAATTCAATCTTGTCTATTTCCCTTCAGGAAGCTAGCGGTGGCTTCGCGCGCAGTTTGGTGATGTCCGCAACGTGTGTCCTATCCACTTCCAGTGTCTTTTCCTAGTATCTTCTTCAACTGAAAGCTGGATTGTTCTATCCTCCAGTAGACTGTTGCTGATGGTATCCTGTCAACGGACATTGCGAATCTTGCATAGATAACTGTTTTATATATATCTATATGTTTTTTAAATGATAGTTGTAGTCGCAAATCTTTCGCCATTCTCGTTCCTTTCTCCCAGTCAGTCCGTATCGTCCCATGATGTATTAATACCCGGTGTTGTCCATTACGACCCTGGCGTTTATGTCTATCATCAGTATGATCAGCTTCTTTCCTGATTGTTTCGCTATGATCGATTGTAGACTGTCGTAAAATTGATGTTTGTCATCGTCACTGCTGTT